CATGCTGTGGTTCTGCTCATCAATAAACGTACCTTCTTTCCTAAGCAGCTAGCCTCCATTTTATTTCCAGAGCCTCTCTCCCAGCTTGGAACTGAACCAGATGGATATTTCTTCCAACATCCTGCTCTGATCTTTTCTTCTTGGCGATACCTGCTTGTTACCCCGGTGGTAGCAGCGCCAAGATGCTGACAAATTTGTTGCAACAGCCTTAGTGTTTAAGCTCTGAGAAAGAAACTCTACGATGGAAAATGTTTCATTTCTAAAAAAAGCATTGTGCTGCTCTTTAAATAGCTTTTGAGAATGAAAGAAATGGGTATTGTCAGCATTGCTGTGAATGTGGGGGTAAAGCTGTCTTCCCAACACACAGGAGTTGTTTCCATTTCTTTCATTCCTCTCTCAGGGCTTCTTAAAAATTTCCAAATAATCTCGACAAGTAAAGAGAGGAACAATAATTGGAGCAGAGAACTGGAATTTTAGCTCTGCAAATGAATCATCCTGATTGCTAAATTTAGAAGACACCAAAGAATTGCAGGTTTGTTCATTTTACTAACACAATTCAGAGGACTGGTAATATATATATATATTTTCTATCATTTTGCAAATGATCCCTCTGCAAAAGGATGCCCACAACCAGGAGCAGGTCAGGGGTGAGGAGGAACCAAGAACCTCCTTTGGCCTGAGCCTCCAGCCCCAGGTAGCTTCAAATTTAAACATGTTTGAAAGTTTCTAAATTTTAAAACATTAACATATTTAATGTTTCCCTTCACTCATTTTTGATGTCGTTTTTTTGCATAGCTGTCATTATGTCTCATTATGGTTAAGAGCTAAAAACCTTTAAAATGGCCAAAGCCTCTGAATCTTGGACTGTCATGCATAATAATGCATTCTGAACCCCTGTTCAGAATCTACCTCAGTGGGTTCTCCCAGAAGTGATGAAAGAATTACTGATGGATGATGGATTCAACAGCAAGAGGTAGATGTTGAGGCAGATGAAATAGATTAAATATGAGTGATGTAAGGAGATACAAGATCCCAAGGGAGGAGCATGGGAGATTTGTCAAAAAGTCAGTAAGAGTTGAAATACTAAAAAGGGCAAGAGATGATGGATAGATACAGAATACTTAAGATGGCAATTGCTTCATTAAGGGTTAGAAAACAGGTAGAAAATAGAAATTGGGAAAATAGTATTCATACATAATAGAATACATTATAATTACTATGTATACATAAATGTTAGAAGTTGAAAGGTATTATTATGTATACCTAAACAGTATTGTTATTAGTATTGTGTATAAAGTACATTGACCCAGACTGTTCACTAAGCACTTACAGATATTTTTTAAAAAAACTTATTTAAAAATTATATTTAAAAAAATCTACCCCAATGGGGACTAATTATATTTATCAGCCATGGATTTCTGATTATTTGGGGGAATAAAGTTGGACAGTAAGACAGGGAACAGAAGAACTTGGAAGAGCTTATGGCTTTGCTGGCTACCGCAAGAGTTCATTGCAAAGAATGTGACTTCTTTTTTCCTCTTGGAGATGTCTGATGCATAGAACCAAAGCCCCAGAAGGCAAGAAAGAGGGGGGCAATGGGTATGATTCCGAATATAAAAATAATAATAGTTTTATGTCATGATTAAGGATTAAGTGCAGATTATAAATAAATATTAATTGAATTTCAATAGACAAAGAATACACATTAAAACTAATACGAGCTAAAGAGCAGAATAAGATAAAAGTTCCCCTCGCGCATATGTGCCGACTCTAGGGGGCGGTGCTCATCTCAGTTTCAAAGCCGAAGATCCAGCGCTGTCCGAAGACGTCTCTGTGGTCATGTGGCCTACATGGCTAAACGCCAAAGGTGCATGGAACGCTGTTATCTTCCCACCAAAGGTGGTCCCTATTTTTTCTTTCAAACTGCTAGGTTGGCAGAAGCTGGGACAAGTAACGGGAGCTCACCCCATTACACGGTACTAGGGATTTGAACTGCTGAACTGCCGACCTTTCGATCAACAAGCTCACCATGTTAGCCACTGAGCCACCGTGTCCTGATAATAACAGAATATCCAACCAAAAAAACCTCTTTCACAGCAATGCAGACAATATCTGTTTTTTCATTCTTAAAAGCTATTTAATGCGTTTTTTTAGAAAAGCAACATTTTCCATCATATAATTTCTTTTTCAAAGCTCCAACACCAAGGCAGTTGCAACAAATTTGTCAGCATCTTGGCGCTGCTACCACCGGGGTAACAAGCCGGCACCTCCAAGACTACAAAATCATAGCAAGAGGAGTTTATGAACCTAAGAACCCTGCACTCAAAACCACAATGCTTTTACTTCTCAAGCTACAACCCCTGTGCATATTTTTTTACCATGTAATTTTTTTAGAAGCTTCAGCAGCTTACTGGGACCACTCAGAAACTCTGCTTATGACTCACAGATAGTTTGTGCAAAGGATATGCTGGCTAAGAAATTCTGGCCTCAAAATCTGGAAGACATTCAGGATGCAGAAGGATGAAACTGAACGTTGCGTTTCTCTAAGACACATTAAAACTAGCATGAGGGGAATAGCAGAATATCAAAAAAAATACAACAACCCTCTACAATAAAAAGATAAATTAGGCACCCCTCCCAAACTTACTAACACTATATATCTAACAAAATTGAGCAAATTAAAAGGCAGCCCGAAACTAACACCAGAGGAGCTAGTCACAGGGCCAGGCAGAAGCCACTACCCAATCAGAGGAACCCTCCGTTTTCTCAGAAGAAAAGTATGAAACTAACTCAGATTGAAAGATGAAAAAGATCTGTTATCTGGAGAGTAAGGACGAGCCGGTTACAGAGTAAACTGAATTTTGAAAGTTGTAGCGTTGAATTTGCTGTTGAAGCAGCAGGAAGAGCTCAATGGGTAGATTTGTGGGGAAGAAGATGATCCAGGTTGGTGTAGTGGTGAAAGCTACAGGTTAGAGACTGGGAAATACTCAGTTGCAGTCCGCCTAAAGTGTGAAGCCATCTGTGCAGCTTTGGCCAGTCCTATCAGGCCTAGGCCTAAGAAAGAAAGGGGGAAACCACTTGACTGACTTGAAGGCACCAAACCAGGGGTGAAATGCTCCCGGTTCGGACTGGATCGCCTGATCCGGTAGCGATGGCGGCGGGTGGTTCGAACAACCGGTAGCAAAAATCCGTGCACAACCCCCATGCCCACCTGAGCTGCGCGATATCAGAGGCTTTTTTTTTTTACTTTTAAAAGCATTTTTTCTACAACCTGTTCAGCCGAAAAAATACTTTAAATGCTTTAAAAAAAAAAGTTGGCCATACCTTTCTAAAAAGATTAGCCTGGTGATCACTTAGCCATGTGGTTTGATGGGCTATTCTATTTTTGTCCTTTTTTTAAACAATTTTTTTGGGGGGGAAACATTTCTTCTACCATATATAGGCAATCAGGCCCTCTTTCTTAGGCTCCATTTTCTAGGCCCTGCTGCATATTTTTTCTGTGACCTAATGGAGACTTCAGTGCAAGCAAATTTACAGAATTTATACACGGCATTTAGGAGATATAAAATTTCCTCCTTCAGGAATGAAGCTTGGTGGTTGATGCTCTTGGACGCAGCCCTGGCCAGCAGGAGTGAAGCTGGCTCCCCTGCAGTGTCCAAAATCCTGGGAGCCACAGGAAATCAGATTTTGGGGTATTAGAGAGGTTTTGATCTCCACTGAGAGTCACCCTAAGAAAGCTGATTGTGTAATTCTATAAAACCTTCATGAACTTTTACCACTGAACACATAGCTAATCTTTGTAAGATAAGCAGCATCACATTTCACTAGGCTCAGAAGTCAAAAACGACTTGATAGCATTTAATTAGCGGAAACATGTTGCAAAGGCCTTAGACAGAGGCTGGAGAAACATGTTTTTCTGCCTCCTGGTAGGAGATGGTGGTCAAACAGGCAACACCTGTGCCTAGAAAGCGGGTATCATCTGTGGTTGATCTTAAAGGAGTTAAAACCATAGAGTACTTTATTGCTAGAAAGGTTGGAAGGCGAGGGAAGAGTAGAAGGCAGTCGAGTTTCCTTTTGAAAAAGCATCTTTGGGACAGCCGAACTTCCTCTTCCGGATGACTGATGGGAGGAAGTTGGTGTGTGCAGAGCGGCTTTTGTGCTGTTTCCATGGTCGAAGCAGCAGCTGGCAGGTGAGTGGAGGGCAGCAGGTGGGAGGAGAGTCCGGGAGCAACTTGGGCTGGAAGCGGAGAAGCAACTGGGCTGAAGCCTCTCAGCTGCGGCTGCTGCAGGTTCCTTCCCTCCCCAAATGGAAGCCCACTGGTGCTGCAGGCTGGGAAACTGGGGGCTGCAATTTCTGCTGGTGGGAAGCTTGAAAAAGCCTCTTTCAAGTGCAGGTTGGTTCTTTGGGAATGGCTTCCCTCCAGAGGTTGTGGCTGCTCCGTCCCTGGAGGGTTTGCAGGTCTTCTATTCCAACCTCCTGATCAAGCAGGAGACCCAATATCATTTCAGACAAATGGCTGTCCTGTCTCTGTTTAAAAGCCTCCAGTGATGGGTCTCCCACAACTTCTGAAGGCAAATCCTTCCCCTGGTTAACTGTTCTCAGCGTCAGAAGTTTCTCCTTAGTTCTAGGTTGCTTCTCTCCTTGCTTGGTTTCCATCCAGTTTCTAGTCCTGCCTTCAGGGGCTTTGGAGAATAGGTTGACCCCTTCTTCTTTGTGGCAAGTCCTCAAGTATTGGAAGACTATCATGTCTCCCCTAGTCCTTCCTTTCACTAGACTAGACATTCCCAATTCCTGCAACTTTTCTTCCTATGCTTGCGCTCCAGCCCCCTAATCATCTTTGTTGCTCTTTTCTGCATTCTTTCCAGAGTTTCAACATCTTTTTTATGATACGGTACCAAACCTGTATGCAATTTTCTAAGTGTGGTCTTACTCTTTATAAAGTGGCACTAGTACTTCACATGACCATGTTTCTCTCTCTGTTAATGCAGCCTAGTATTGAATTAGCTTTTTTTTGCTGCTGCAATACATTGCTGGCTCATATCTAAATGATTGCCCAGTATGACTTAAAGGTCCCTCTGATTCTTGATGAACGTATCTTTTCTTTTATATACACTGAGAGCATATGCACCTAGACAAATTCCTTGTGTGTCCAATCACACTTGGCCAATAAAAAATTCTGTTCTGTTCTGTTCTGTTCCTGCTTGAGTCAGGTTCTACCTGTTCTGTAGCAGTACGTTTGGTTTTTCCTGCATAAGTGTAAAACCTTATTTTTTTTCATCCATCGAATTTCATTTTGTTAGGTAGGGCCCAGTGTTCAAATCTATCGAGATTCTCTATCTTGAGCCTATCTTCTGAGGTATTGGCTATTCCTGCCAACTTGGTGTCATTTGCAAATTTGATGCATTCCCGTTCGATTCCCTCATCTAAGGCATTTATGAAGATATTAAAGAGTACTAAAACAGGACCTTGGGATACCCACTGCTTACTTCCCTCCATATAGATATAGTCCCATTAAGGAATACACTTTGAGGGTGGTTTGTCAGCCAGTTAAGAATCCATCTGTGTGGATGGATGTACCTATCCCACATTTTTCTAATTTACCAAGAAGTAAGTTATAGTCTACTTTGTCAACTGCGTTACTGAAATCCAATTATACTACGTATTGCATTGGTCCACTAATTTAGTCACTTTGTGTAAGAATGAAATAACATTTGTTTGGAATGATCTCTTTTTGACAAACCCATATTGACTTCTGGTTATATACAGTATTTGCTTGCTTCTAGGTGTTTGCAGATCTCTTGTTTCATTATCTTTTCCAGGATCTTCCCAGGTAGTGATGTCAGGCTAATTGGCCTGTAGTTTTATGATCCTTTTTTGAAGATGGGAACTACCATATTTTTCGGAGTATAAGATGCACCTTTTCCCCCCCTAACTACATCAGCTCTTTTCCAGTCCACCGGTAGTTCCTTGGTGTGTGAAGATCTTTGAAATCTATGGTTCAATGGTTCTTAGATCACGTCTGCTGGCTCCTTCAGAACTTTGGGATGTAATCAATGTAGTCCTGGTGGTTAGAACTTGTCCAGAATGGACAGATGTTTTCCTATCATTTTCTTGCCTGTTTTAATTTGTATTCCTAGTCTGCCTTTTACAGTTCTGTTTTTGGTAGGTTTGGCTATTTTTTCTTTTTGTCTGAAGATAGATGCAGATAATGAATTAAGTAGCTCTGCTGTGTCTCTACTGCCCGTCACTTCCTTGCCATTGTCTCCCATTAATGGGCTGAGACTTCAAGTTACTATGGCACAGTAGAAGCAGACGTGCACCTAGTCCACAAAATTTGTGGTAATCCTAGCAGTTGTTCAGTGACCGCACGTCAGCAGTGACTGTGATTTTGAAAGTGCAGGAAAAGAAATCACAGCAATTCGGGTTCTGTCAATAGTTTCACATTCATGATGGCTGCAGCATCCCACACTCACGATCCCAATTTGTAGCCTTCCCAGATAGCTTCTGACCAGCAAAATCAGTGGATATACTGGCAGGAATTTGCAAGTCACGATCATATGAAATTGCCTTTAACAACCCACAGTAATTTGCTTAACAACTACAGAGAAACAGATGTAAGTTGGCACTGTCATGTGACATCATGCTTAATGATTAGTGATGCTCAGTTCCAATTGTGGTAGGTTAAGTGAAGACTACTTGAATTGGAATTTCACCAGAGGGGTTGTAGACAGTATTTTCTGCTCTTATTTGCAGCTGAGGACTTCCATGAGCAAAAGTGGTGCTTCAAAGCTTGCAGAGGCTTTCGGCATCATTTCATCAGCTAAAGCCCCCACATCTCTAAATTTAGCTCCAAAGGTTTGACTGTAACTAAATTGGGACATTTTGTCAGGCTTGAAAGACATAGATTTTCTCCCTGTATACATGTGTAGGTGGGTGTATCTTTATTTCTCTCTATGCATATATCTGCAATGATATAACCTATCCCCAACACTTCAAGATATATTTGATGATAATACTTTGCATTGCTAAGAATTTATGATTAACCCAACTAAATAACTGAATCTGATTGAATGGATATTTGAACATGGATCTCAATAGTACTCCATGTGTCATATGAATCATCAATAATGTAAGTGATTATTCTAGTATTGGGGCATGTTTGTTTTTTCATCGTAATATATACTTTTTTTCTTTTCTCACATCATCTCTAACCATTTTATAAACAAAGTTACACTTTTCTTTGATTCTTACAGACAAAGAGGATGGCAATAAAATCACTCTAGACAACTGTAAATAACAAGCAAAGTTGAAAAGGGAAGAAAATCAAGCCAGAAATCAAAATATGTTCCGTTTCCTTCAGAAAATCATACAATGATGCTCTTCCTCCAGCAGCTGTTAGACAAAAGAGAGAAAATCAAAAAAGAATAAGCAGATTATGCAGAACTGAAGGATACATTACATGAAAAGTGAAGAGAGATTATTTATCATTCAGAAAAAGAGGGAAATATCTGGAAGTCCGTGAGGAGGAAACTGTCAATAGTAAAGTCACGTAGAACAGACAGGAATACAGGCTTCTCCCTGTGAAGAAGAAAACGGCTTGAATGATAGCACCACTAAAGAAGGCATTGTCCATATTTGTTTACCTCCTCAAGAATACTGGCTGTAGAAAAGCTCCATAGATTTGCCTATTGTGGGAAAAGCACAGATTGCAAATGTCCTGATTATGGGAAAGTCACAATTCCTGCCTAGGATTAAACCAGAAGATTCACATAGGAGAGAAATGCTTTGAATGTTCTGATTGTTGGGAAACTTTCAGTTATAATTCCAACTTGGTGATAGACCAGAGGAATCATAAAGGAGAAAAACCCGTTCAATGGCCGGATTGTGGGAGAAGTTTCAGTCATAATTCCTGCCTTACTCCATGGAGAAACCTTATGAGTGTCAAGATTGTGGGAAAGGTTTCATTAGAAATTCCAACCTCCTGAGACACAGGATCATGCACACAGAAGAGAAACACTTTGAATGTCCTGACTGTGGGAAAAGCTTTAGTAATAATTCCAATCTGGTGACACACCAGAGGACTCACACAGGAGAGAAACCCTTTGAATGTCTTGACTGTGGGAAACGTTACAGTCAGAAATCTCACCTGGTAATACACCAGAGGACTCACACAGAAGAGAAACACTTTGAATGTCCTGACTGTGGGAAAAGCTTTAGTAATAATTCCAATCTGCTGACACACCAGAGGATTCACACAGGAGAGAAACCCTTTGAATGTCTTGACTGTGGGAAACGTTACAATCAGAAATCTCACCTGGTAATACACCAGAGGACTCACACAGGAGAGAAACCCTTTGAATGTCCTATCTGTGGGAAAAGCTTTAGTAATAATTCCAATCTGGTGACACACCAGAGGACTCACACAGGAGAGAAACCCTTTGAATGTCCTGACTGTGGGAAACGTTACAGTCAAAATTCCCACCTGGTAGCACACCAGAGAACTCACACAGGAGAGAAACCCTTTGAATGTCCTATCTGTGGGAAAAGCTTTAGTAATAATTCCAATCTGGTGACACACCAGAGGACTCACACAGGAGAGAAACCCTTTGAATGTCCTATCTGTGGGAAACGTTACAGTCAGAATATCCAAATGCTATTACACCAGTGGACTCACACAGAAGAGAAACCTTTTGAATGCCCTCTCTGTGGGAAAAGCTATTGTGATAATTACAAACTTCTGAGACACCAGAGGACTCACACAGGAGAGAAACCCTTTGAATGTCCTGACTGTGGGAAACGTTACAGTCAAAATTCCCACCTGGTAGCCCACCAGAGAACTCACACAGGAGAGAAACCCTTTGAATGTCCTATCTGTGGGAAAAGCTTTAGTAATAATTCCAATCTGGTGACACACCAGAGGACTCACACAGGAGAGAAACCCTTTGAATGTCCTATCTGTGGGAAACGTTACAGTCAGAATATCCAGATGCTATTACACCAGTGGACTCACACAGAAGAGAAACCTTTTGAATGCCCTCTCTGTGGGAAAAGCTATTGTGATAATTACAATCTTCTGAGACACCAGAGGAGTCACACAGGAGAGAAACCCTATGAATGTCCTGATTGTGGGAGATGTTTCAGTCTCAATTACACGTTGGTGATACACCAGAAGACTCACACAGAAGATAAAGCCTTTGTATGTCCTATCTGTAGGAAACGTTTTTGTTATAATTCCAGTCTTGTGAGACACCAGAGGACTCACACCATGAAGAAATCTTTGAAATGACTAGTCTCTAGACATTACTTCAAGCATAAATCATCCCTTATTGCACACAAGGTAATCTATATGAGAAATAGTAGATGAGTTTAGAGAATGCTGGAATTTCATTTGTGATCTCCCATTGAAAGTTTAGATGAGAAATTGATTGTTTGAATTTTGGCCTGATTCATTTTGCTCAAACATTTTTCAGGATTAAATACGTAAGTGGAGAGAAAAGGAAAATGGAAAATGGTTAACTAGTTTCTGGTTATTAGCAGAAGCTTCTGGATATTTCCTTTTCCAGAAGTAGTTGAATTCCTCAAAAAGGATTTTTGGGTGGAGCTTTTGTATTTTGATTCTGGAATTCCCACATGTGTAGTTTCAATCTTCTACCTTGGTTTCCACCCAGATTCTGAGCCCCAGAATTCCGCAGTCGGCATAAAAGTAGTCCTCAAGATATGACTATTATGGACCTTGAATTATGGGTGCATGTTGCAATGGCTGTTAAGCGAAATTGCTTTCCTTAACTACCCAAATCCCTCTGCTCTCCCTGAGGCAGCCATTAATCAAATATGTGAGTCGCTATGGTGAACACTGTCTACTCAGAGCTGGGGAAAACTCTTGGAGATCTAGTGCATGGCCAGGCTTGCGTGCCATAGGCATCTCTAGGCCCCCTCTCCCTCCAAGACATCCTTGTACTCTGTATCCTAACCCTTGTGTCCCTGGGCCCTTCACTCCCTCCCAGCGTCCCCTTACACCTGACTCCCACCCCACCCAACCTCACACCCTCCTCCTTCTTACCTTTTGAATATCTCTGAACCTCATGGTGGGGACAGAGGGAAGGACATGCATCCTTGGGCCTCATGATTTTGTCCTGGAAGTAGCCACCATTTTCAGTGGACCCTGGATTCATCCCTGCTGTGAACTGTGGTAATGGTGCAACATGCCACACTACATCCTGCCCCAAACGGCAGCTTGCATGGGCTGCACGACAAGCTATGTAGTATATTGCCACTCGCGGCCGCAGAAGACGTCAGATGGCTGTGCAACAAGTGTCGGGGTGTGCTTGCCCTAGCTGCGATGGTCCTAAAGTAATCGGCTAAGAAATCCTCCAAAACTAAGAAGTGGTGCTCATTTTGAGCCCCAAAAGAAAATAAAACTAGGTCTTATTTTCAGGGAGACGGGTATGTATATGCAATTCTATGAACTCACGATTGACCCAAGTCAACAAATAAATTTCATAACTGAATGGCTGTCAGGTTCCGAAATAAAAGACTGCAAATCTTGATGATGATGGTTAGAAGATGCTTTATTGATACAGACTGACATCCATAAATAATGAAAGGAAATATTGTTGGAGTTATTGCTCTGTGCTCCCCACCACCTTATAAAGTCTTGTGCCTAAGCAGGGCATTAAAGGAGCCCCAATCTTCTACCCACCCTCCTAATCCAAGGGCTAGCCGCCCACACACTGGTCATACCCACCTCATTCCTACCTACTTCCTACTGCAGGGAATGTCAGTAAGACACAATCAGCCCTAATCAGCCCCAGTTCTGCCAGCACTTTCAGCTCTTTCAGCCTCAGTCTTGCCAGCAGTTTCAACTCCCAGTTTAGGCCAGTATGTCCAGGGCTGCTAGGCTTACTTTTTCCCTCTGGGAGCCTCCCATCGCTCGGAGATGCTTGCAATTCAACCACGGAGAAGGCTGCTGGCTGCCTTATGACATCATCCTTCCCTTGAGGAATGAGAGTAGGCTGTAGCAGTGGCTGGCGGCCTCCTGGAGACTAGGATCCAGGTTAGCTCGGTGGGCTGTGGCAGCGCTGGCTGCACCGGGGATGACATGTGGACCCCTACCATGAGGACCACGCCTGGAATATAAAGATTACAGTAAGTGGTAGCACAAGTCAGGGGCCCTGGGTTTGTCTGGATTCTTCCTGTGGAATCTAGTGGTCAGTCTCGGGGCCTTGACGTCCTCCATCGGGACCCAGGATGCCTCTGACAGCAGATACCCTTTCCACATTATCAAATACTGGAGTTTCTTTCTGTGCCAGCAGGTATCTAGTATGTCCTCTACCTCATAGTGTTGTTCCCTTCCTACCATGGTAGGAGGTGAAGGGGCAATCCTGAGGCCCCTCAGGGGAGTTATATGGACTGGTCAGAGTAGGCTACAATGGAATACCGGATGGGTTTTCCCTAGTAATCGGGGAAGATGGAGTTGCACGCTTACCGGATTAATGACTCGTATTATCGGGAAGGACCCTATAAACGTAGGGCCTAGTTTCTTGCAGGGATATGGGTAGTTTCGGAAACTTGGTAGAAAGGTACACTGGTTGACCCACCCTGAACATGGGTGGGGCTCTTTTTGTCCCCCGGCTTTTTGTAACCTGTAGCCGTGTGGTTTAGGGCTTTCTTGACGCTTCCCCATACGTTCCTCATTCGGTCTGACCATTCTTTGACTCCTATATTGGCTGGATCTATACTAGGGCACTCTGGTATCGGCATGAACTCTCTTCCCGACACTGAAATGGAATGGAGTAAACCCTGTACTGCTATGTACAGCATTATTATATGCTACTTCAGCATATGGCAGTAGGTCTGCCCAGTCCATTTGCTGATGTTTGATATAGCATCTCAGGTAACGTTCCACCATGGCATTGGCTCTTTCGGTTGCCCCATTGGTAGCAGGATGGAACGCATGTCTATCACAGTCCAGATGACTGTATTTCCTTGACTCTCTGGTAGCTCCACGATAAAGTCCATGGCTATCTGTTCCCAGGGATGTGTGGGGTCTGCTATTTTTTACAATAAGCCTAATGTTTTCCCTTGTGGGGTTTTCATGGTAGCGCACACCATACAGCTCCGTACATATTCCGCTACATTTTTTTCATAGAGGACCACCAGAACTGGCGATTGATGAGGTGCAATGTCTTTAAATACCCAAAGTGTCCAGCAGGTCGATCGTCATGACAGCTCTGGAGTACCCTTAACCGCACATCCGGGGGAACATACAGCTTTGACGCCTTCCAAACAAAGCCATCCCTAAGTGTAAGGACAGAGCGATTTTCACTATACCACTGGTCTCTTGGTAATGCGGTTTGGATGGCCTGCGGAACAGCCCCACTGGAACCTGCTGGGTTATAGATGCCGACTGGGCGACAATCAGTGGTTCGGTGGTTTCGGTATGATGGTATGATGGCTTGCACTACCTCCTCCCTGGTGCTCTCATATGGTGGCTTCCGGGACAGAGCATCAGCCAGGAAATTTCTCCCTGTGGGTATGTATTTCAAAGTGAAATTGAATTGTCTGAAATAAAGAGCCCACCTCACTTGTTTTGGCGACAGCCTCCTGGGTTGTTGCAAAGCCCCCAAGTTCTTGTGGTCCGTCCACACTTCAAATGGTAGTCCACCACAGGGGTGAAATTTAAAATTTGTTATTACCGGTTCGGTGGGTGTGACTTGGTGGGGGTGGGGGGGGTAATGTGACGGTGGGCATGGCCAACTTTTTTTTTTAACTTTTAAAAGCATTTTTTCTACAACCTTAAGAGGTTGCACAAAAAATACTTTTAAAAGCTTCTGACGATCAAGCAAGTCAGCTGGGATCGCCAGAGGCTTTTATAGGCATTTTTTTCCTACACCCTCTTTGGCTGAAGGGGTTGCAGAAAAAAATGCTTTGAAAAGCCTCTGGTGATCCCAGCTGAGCCGTGCGATAATCGGAGGCTTTTTTTTAACTTTTAAAAGCATTTTTTTCAGCCGAAGTGGTTGTAGAAAAAATGCTTTTAAAAGTAAAAAAACCCAGCCTCTGATGATCACGCAACTCAGCTGGGCATGGGGGGGGGGGCGCAGGAATTTTTGCTATCTGTTCTCTGAACCACCTGCCGCCATTGCTACTGGATCAGGTGATCCGGTCCGAACCGGGAGCATTTCACCCCTGCTCCACCATCTTCCAGGAGGTGTCGCCAGGTCACCAACACCCAGTTAACAGCAAAGGTCTCCTTTTCCCAGATTGGCCAATTATGCTCAGTCTCTGTTAACTTTCATGACGTGTATGCACATGGCTGCAGTGCTCCCTCCTCATTCCTCTGTATCACAACTGCAGCCACAGTCACATCAGGGGCATCTTTGGGATAAGCTGGTGTTAGAAGTTGGAGAACCCCAGAAAGCTTTGTAACTGCTTTCGGGTCTTAGGCACCTGCCAGTCTATCACCTGTCTCACCTTAGAAGTGTCCTCCATAATATGCCTCCCGGAGATCCAGTTTAGTAAACACGCTTCCCTCGGCCAACCGGGCCAACATGTCCTTCATTAACGGCAGTGGATACAGCTGTTTTATGCACACTGCTAATTCCTCGGAAATCCACACATAATCTCAACCCACCATCCTTTTTCTCTTGAAACAGGACAGGCGCAGCACTTGTTTTCACTAAAGGCGTCTTTTAGATCGGCCTAGACCTCTGGATAACCCAGGTCTCCAGGTTTCCCTGACTGTGTTAGAATATTATATTTCTCCAAAGAAGAAATGGAGAAACATGTTCTTAGAGGCAGAAAGCAGCCCCCAGTCTTTCTTAATAGTTTACAGCAGATGCTCATTAAGAAATCCTGGGCCAGCCTATTCACAAACAAAATACCTTCACCTCCAGGTGATGGGATTAAGGACAGGACATGACCTTAACCTATGCATTGGAAAAAGTGGAAACAATACTGGTCCATGAAGGAAGGAACACTGGAGGCAATAGATAATTGGGTAAAATCAATTACAGGGATGAAATCCTCCATGGGTCACTAGCGCTTTGCCTGCTTGCACATGCACGGTGCCTGCAAGATGCATGATGTGTGCCCACAGACGCAAAATGCACACGCACATCAAATGCATCATTTGCACAGAGAAACAAACCATTTGACGGTAAGTACAACATGGAGGGGGGTAACAGCTGCGTCACTCAGTACAAATTCGCTAGAAAGCAAGATTTCCTGCTTTCTAGTGAATATATATCACGCGGCACAGCTGATAGTCTGATATACCAGTTCAGACCAACTGGTAGCTTTTTTTTTACTACCGGTTTGCTGAACCAGTAGATTTTATCACTACCGGTTCACCCGAACCAGTCTGAACCGGTAGGATTTCACCACTACAAGGAAGTCACAATTAAGACCCATCATGAGCCTTTGCAAAACAAGTAAAACTAATCAAATAATAAAAGCAAACAAAGCAAAGCTCAAAATTACAAAATACTGTAAACTGTATAAAAATCCTTGCACTCATCAAGCTACTTTGTCAGCTGTCCCAGAACTGCATGCTGTGGTTCTGCTCATCAATAAACGTACCTTCTTTCCTAAGCAGCTAGCCTCCATTTTATTTCCAGAGCCTCTCTCCCCGCTTAGAACTGAACCAGATGGATATTTCTTCCAACATCCTGCTGTGATCTTTTCTTCTTGGCGATACCTGCTTGTTACCCCGGTGGTAGCAGCGCCAAGATGCTGACAAATTTGTTGCAACAGCCTTAGTGTTTAAGCTCTGAGAAAGAAACTCTACGACGGAAAATGTTTCATTTCTAAAAAAAGTATTGTGCTGCTCTTTAAATAGCTTTTGAGAATGAAAGAAATGGGTATTGTCAGCATTGCTGTGAATGTGGGGGTAAAGCTGTCTTCCCAACACACGGGAGTTGTTTCCATTTCTTTCATTCCTCTCTCAGGGCTTCTTAAAAATTTCCAAATAATCTCGACAAGTAAAGAGAGGAACAATAATTGGAGCAGAGAACTGGAATTTTAGCTCTGCAAATGAATCATCCTGATTGCTAAATTTAGAAGACACCAACGAATTGCAGATTTGTTCATTTTACTAACACAATTCAGAGGACTGGTAATATATATATATATTTTCTATCATTTTGCAAATGATCCCTCTGCAAAAGGATGCCCACAACCAGGGCCAGGTCAGGGGTGAGGAGGAACCAAGAACCTCCTTTGGCCTGAGCCTCCAGCTCCAGGTAGCTTCAAATTTAAACATGTTTGAAAGTTTCTAAATTTTAAAACATTAACATATTTAATGTTTCCCTTCACTCATTTTTGATGTCGTTTTTTTTGCATAGCTGTCATTATGTCTCATTATGGTTAAGACCTAAAAACCCTTAAAATGGCCAAAGCCTCTGAATCTTGGACTGTAATGCATAATCATGCATTCTGAACCCCTGTTCAGAATCTACCTCAGTGGGTTCTCCCAGAAGTGATGAAAGAATTACTGATGGATGATGGATGATGGATTCAACAGCAAGAGGTAGATGTTGAGGCAGATGAAATAGATTAAATATGAGTGATGTAAGGAGATACAAGATTCCAAGGGAGGAGCATGGGAGATTTGTCAAAAAGTCAGTAAGAGTTGAAATACTAAAAAGGGCAAGAGATGATGGATAGATATAGAATACTTAAGATGGCAATTGCTTCATTAAGGGTTAGAAAACAGGTAGAAAATAGAAATTGGGAAAATAGTATTCATACATAATAGAATACATTATAATTACTATGTATACAAAAATGTTAGAAGTTGAAAGGTATTATTATGTATACCTAAACAGTATTGTTATTAGTATTGTGTATAAAGTACATTGATCCAAACTGTTCACTAAGCTCTTACAGATATTTTTTAAAAAAACTTATTTAAAAATTATATTTAAAAAAATCTACCCCAGTGGGAACTAATTATATTTATCAGCCATGGATTTCTGATTATTTGGGGGAATAAAGTTGGACAGTAAGACAGGGAACAGAAGAACTTGGAAGAGCTTATGGCTTTGCTGGCTACCGCAAGAGTTCATTGCAAAGAATGTGACTTCTTTTTTCTTCTTGGAGATGTCTGATGCATAGAACCAAAGCCCCAGAAGGCAAGAAAGAGGGGGGCAATGGGTATGATTCCGAATATAAAAATAATAATAGTTTTATGTCATGATTAAGGATTAAGTGCAGATTAGAAATAAATATTAATTGAATTTCAATAGACAAAGAATACACATTAAAACTAATACGAGCTAAAGAGCAGAATAAGGTAAAAGTTCTCCTCGCACATATGTGCCAACTCTAGGGGGAAGTGCTCATTTCAGTTTCAAAGCTGAAGAGCCAGCGCTGTCCGAAGACGTCTCTGCTCACGTGGCCTACAGGGCTAAACGCCAAAGGTGCATGGAACGCTGTTACCTTCCCACCAAAGGTGGTCCCTATTTTTTCTATTTGCATTTTATACGTGCTTTCAAACTGCTAGGTTGGCAGAAGCTGGGACAAGTAACGGGAGCTCACCCCATTACACGGTACTAGGGATTTGAACTGCTGAACTGCCGACCTTTCGATCAACAAGCTCAGCATGTTAGCCACTGAGCCACCGTGTCCCAATAATAACAGAATATCCAACCAAAAAAACCTCTTTCACAGCAATGCAGACAATATCTGTTTTTTCATTCTTAAAAGCTATTTAATGCATTTTTTTTTAAGAAAAGCAATATTTTCCATCATATAATTTCTTTTTCAAAGCTCCAACACCAAGGCAGTTGCAACAAATTTGTCAGCATCTTGGCGCTGCTACCACCGGGGTAACAAGCCGGCACCTCCAAGACTACAAAATCATAGCAAGAGGAGTTTATGAACCTAAGAACCCTGCACTCAAAACCCTGCACTCAAGAGCTTACTTCTCAAGCTACAACCTCTGTGCATATTTTTTTACCATGTAATTTTTTTAGAAGCTTCAGCAGCTTACTGGGACCACTCAGAAACTCTGCTTATGACTCACAGATAGTTTGTGCAAAAGATATGCTGGCTAAGAAATTCTGGCCTCCAAATCTGGAAGACATTCAGGATGCAGAAGGATGAAACTGAACGTTGCGTTTCTCTAAGACACATTAAAACTAGCATGAGGGGAATAGCAGAATATCAAAAAAAATACAACAACCCTCTACAATAAAAAGATAAATTAGGCACCCCTCCCAAACTTACTAACACTATATATCTAACAAAATTGAGCAAATTAAAAGGCAGCCCGAAACAAACACCAGAGGAGCTAGTCACAGGGCCAGGCAGAAGCCACTACCCAATCAGAGGAACCCTCCGTTTTCTCAGAAGAAAAGTATGAAACTAACTCAGATCGAAAGATGAAAAAGATCTGTTATCTGGAGAGTAAGGACGAGCCGGTTACAGAGTAAACTGAATTTTGAAAGTTGTAGCTTTCAATTTGCTGTTGAAGCAGCAGGAAGAGCTCAATGGGTAGATTTGTGGGGAAGAAGATGATCCAGGTTGGTGTAGTGGTGAAAGCTACAGGTTAGAGACTGGGAAATACTCAGTTGCAGTCCGCCTAAAGTGTGAAGCCATCTGTGCAGCTTTGGGCAGTCCTATCAGGTCTAGGCCTAAGAAAGAAAGGGGGAAACCACTTGACTGACTTGAAGGCACCAAACCAGGGGTGAAATGCTCCCGGTTCGGAACGGATCGCCTGATCCGGTAGCGATGGTGGCGGGTGGTTCGAACAACCGGTAGCAAAAATCCGTGCACAACCCCATGCCCACCTGAGCTGTGCGATATCAGAGGCTTTTTTTTTTTACTTTTAAAAGCATTTTTTCTACAACCTGTTCAGCCGAAAAAATACTTTAAATGCTTTAAAAAAAAAAAAAAGTTGGCCCTACCTTTCTAAAAAGATTAGCCTGGTGATCACTTAGCCATGTGGTTTGATGGGCTATTCTATTTTTGTCCTTTTTTTAAACAATTTTTTTGGGGGGGAAACATTTCTTCTACCATATATAGGCAATCAGGCCCTCTTTCTTAGGCTCCATTTTCTAGGCCCTGCTGCATATTTTTTCTGTGACCTAATGGAGACTTCAGTGCAAGCAAATTTACAGAATTTATACACGGCATTTAGGAGATATAAAATTTCCTCCTTCAGGAATGAAGCTTGGTGGTTGATGCTCTTGGACGCAGCCCTGGCCAGCAGGAGTGAAGCTGGCTCCCCTGCAGTGTCCAAAATCCTGGGAGCCACAGGAAATCAGATTTTGGGGTATTAGAGAGGTTTTGATCTCCACTGAGAGTCACCCTAAGAAAGCTGATTGTGTAATTCTATAAAACCTTCATGAACTTTTACCACTGAACACATAGCTAATCTTTGTAAGATAAGCAGCATCACATTTCACTAGGCTCAGAAGTCAAAAACGACTTGATAGCATTTAATCAGTGGAAACTTGTTGCAAAGGCCTTAGACAGAGGCTGGAGAAGCATGTTTTTCTGCCTGCTGGTAGGAGATGGTGGTCAAACAGGCAACACCTGTGCCTAGAAAGCGGGTATCATCCGTGGTTGAGCTTAAAGGAGTTAAAACCATAGAGTACTTTATTGCTAGAAAGGTTGGAAGGCGAGGGAAGAGTAGAAGGCAGTCGAGTTTCCTTTTGAAAAAGCACCTTTGGGACAGCCGAACTTCCTCTTCCGGATGACTGATGGGAGGAAGTTGGTGTGCAGAGCGGCTTTTGTGCTGTTTCCATGGCGGAAGCAGCAGCTGGCAGGTGAGTGGAGGGCAGCAGGTGGGAGGAGAGTCCGGGAGCAACTTGGGCTGGAAGCGGAGAAGCAACTGGGCTGAAGCCTCTCAGCTGCGGCTGCTGCAGGTTCCCTCCCTCCCCAAATGGAAGCCCACTGGTGCTGCAGGCTGGGAAACTGGGGGCTGCAATTTCTGCTGGTGGGAAGCTTGAAAAAGCCTCTTTCAAGTGGAGGTTGGTTCTTTGGGAATGGCTTCCCTCCAGAGGTTGTGGCTGCTCCCATCACTGGAGGGTTTGTAACAGGGCTGGAAGGGACCTTGCAGGTCTTCTATTCCAACCTCCTGATCAAGCAGGAGACCCAGTATAATTTCAGACAAATGGCTATCCTGTCATACGGTGACCAAACCTGTATGCAATTTTCTAAGTGTGGTCTTACTCTTTATAAAGTGGCACTAGTACTTCACATGACCATGTTTCTCTCTCTCTGTTAATGCAGCCTAGTATTGAATTAGCTTTTTTTTTGCTGCTGCAATACATTGCTGGCTCATATCTAAATGATTGCCCAGTATGACTTAAAGGTCCCTCTGATTCTTGATGAACGTATCTTTTCTTTTATATACACTGAGAGCATATGCACCTAGACAAATTCCTTGTGTGTCCAATCACACTTGGCCAATAAAAAATTCTACTCTATTCTGTTCTGTTCTGTTCTGTTCCTGCTTGAGTCAGGTTCTACCTGTTCTGTAACAGTACATTTGGTTTTTTCTGCATAAGTATAAAACCTTATATTTTTCCTCCCTCGAATTTCATTTTGTTAGGTAGGGCCCAGTGTTCAAATCTATCGAGATTCTCTATCTTGAGCCTATCTTCTGAGGTATTGGCTATTCCTGCTACCTTGGTGTCATTTGCAAATTTGATGCATTCCCGTTCGATTCCCTCATCTAAGGCATTTATGAAGATATTAAAGAGTACTAAAACAGGACCTTGGGGTACCCACTGCTTATTTCCCTCCATACAGATATAGTCCCATTAAGGAATACACTTTGAGGGTGGTTTGTCAGCCAGTTAAGAATCCATCTGTGTGGATGGATGTACCTGTCCCACATTTTTCTAACATACCAAGAAGGTGGCTATGATCCACTTTGTCAACTGCATTGCTGAAATCCAATTATACTACGTATTTCATTGGTCCACTAATTTAGTCACTTTGTGTAAGAATGAAATAACATTTGTTTGGAATGATCTGTTTTTGACAAACCCATGTTGACTTCTGGTTATATACAGTATTTGCTTGCTTCTAGGTGTTTGCTTCATTATTGTTTCATTAGCTTTTCCAGGATCTTCCCAGGTAGTGATGTCAGGCTAATTGGCCTGTAGTTTTATGATCCTTTTTTGAAGATGGGAACTACCATATTTTTCGGAGTATAAGATGCATCTTTTCCCCCCCTAACTACATCAGCTCTTTTCCAGTCCACCGGTAGTTCCTTGGTGTGTGAAGATCTTTGAAATCTATGGTTCAATAATTCTTAGATCACGTCTGCCGGCTCCTTCAGAACTCTGGGATGTAATCAATGTAGTCCTGGTGGTTAGAACTAGTCCAGAATGGACAGGCATTTTCCTATCATTTTCTTGCCTGTTTTAATTTGTATTCCTAGTCTGCCTTTTACAGTTCTGTTTTTGGTAGTTTGGCTATTTTTTCTTTTTGCCTGAAGTTAGATGCAGATAATGAATTAAGTAGCTCTGCTGTGTCTCTACTGCCCGTCACTTCCTTGCCATCATCTCCCATTAATGGACTGATTGTTTCCTTGACTTTTTTCTTGTTTTATACGTGCTTTAAAATTATTTTTGACATTTGTTGCAAGTGTTAATTCATTCTCAGCATGAGCTTCATTTCATCTTTGCAGATTCGGGCTATATGCTGGTATTCTGCCTTAGTTATGTGTCCCTCTTTCCATTTTTTATACTTATCCTTTTTGTCTTTCAGTTTATCAGAAAGATCTTTCTGCAACCATGCGGGCTTCTTCTTGGATTTCTTGTGTTTCCTTTTTAGTGATATTGTGTTGGACTGGGCTTTTATGATCATATTTTCCAGTGTTTCCCATGCTCCTTGCGTTGTTTTTTCCTTTAGAATTTTTATCCAATAAATATTGGTTAGGCTCTGAATTTGTGAAAATCAGCTCTTCTAAAGTTTAAGACACTGGTTGGATTATATTCTATTGCTTCTGTTTGCATTATATTGAATTCCATTAAGACGTGGTCACTCACCCAAGGTTCCGGCAACTTCAGCTCCTTCTATCGCTTCTCTATTAGTAAGAATTAAGTCGAGTATAGTTTTTCCTCTAGTTCCCTCCTCTACCTTTTGGATGAAAAAAGTTGTCAACTAAGTTGTTTAGGAATCTGTTCAATCTCCTACTTGCTGTAGAGTTTGTCTCCCAGTTTATATCAGGACAGTTAAAGTCTCCCATTACAACTTGATGTTGCCCTCTTGATACAGTTTGTAATCCACACGTGTATTGAAAAAGGCAGATGAATAAAATTTACACATTTTTTTTCTTCCATGTCTTGCCAATAAGTATGGTATTTCCTGTCCCACCATCCATGTATTAACCAGGTTCAATTGTGCTTAATCCAGCACTTCTAAGAAATAGCTATTGAGGATCTTTTGACATATTTGGTTGCACAGGTAGTCCTCACTTACCACTTCTTCCCTGAGCCTTCAAAGTTACTATGGCACAGTAGAAGCAGACGTGCACCTGGTCCACAAAATTTGTGGTACTTCTTGCAGTTGTTCTATGACTGCATGTCAGCAGTGACTGGTTTTGAAGGTTTAGGAAAAGGAGTTGCAGCAATTTGTGTTCTGTCAATAGTTGCACATTTATTTATTTATTTTGTAAAAGTTTTTTTTTTTAATTTTTTACACAGACAAACATACAATATATTTTTTCTGAACAGAGTGTTGGCCGTTTCACAAATTTAAACAATTTTTAGTCATTTCAACACAATTTATATATTCCCCTTTTGCCATAGTATTTATTCTCTCTACCTTTTTTTAAAGACCAATATTACCCTTAATTTTCATTTCATTTCATTTTATTAGATTTATATACCGCCCTACTCCCGAAGGACTCAGGGCGGTGAACAGCCAGAGAGATAAAACACACAAAATACAAAATTTAAAAGACAATGTAAAACCCATTAAGTAATTTGGCCCAGAACAATTTAAAACATCCCCAATGTTTTAAAACTAATTTTAAAAATTTCAGTTAAGGGAAGTTAGGCCAGGCCAACCTGTTGAAATAAATAGGTCTTGAGGGCCCGACGGAAGGTGCATAAATCCGGGATCCTCCGTATCTCCGGGGGGAGCTCATTCCAGAGAGCAGGTGCCCCCACAGAGAAGGCTCTCCCCCTGGGGGCCGCCAGTCAACATTGTTTGGCCGACGGCACCCTGAGGAACCCCTCTCTATGTGAGCGTACTGGCCAGTGAGAGGCGACTGGTGGCAGAAGGCGGTCCCGTAAATACCCAGATCCTAAGCCATGGAGCACTCTAAAGGTGGTGACCAAAACCTTGAAGCACACCCGGAAGACCACCGGGAGCCAGTGCAGCTCGCGCAGGAGAGGTGTCACATGGGAACGCCATGTCGCTCCCATAGCCACCCGTACGGCTGCACTCTGAACGAGCTGGAGCCTACGGGTGCTCCTCAAGGGGAGCCCCATGTAGAGAGCACTACAGTAGTCCAAGCGGGAAGTTACAAGGGCATGAGTGACCGTGCGTAAGGAGTCCCGATCCAGAAAGAGATGCAACTGGCGTATCAGGCGAACCTGATAGAAACCTCATCCTAATCTCTAATCTTAACCATTCAATTTTTCCCTTCATCTCTATTTTAAACCCCTTCAATTTTACATAATGTAATTCCTAATTTTTCCTTATATTCCCTTGATATAATCACTAATATTTTCATTTATCAATTATTTCAATATAATAGAATCCAGCCTCTTAATAAAAGTCAAATTAATTATGTAGTATTACAATCATTCATTTCTTATAAAAATAATAAACCAATTTTTTTATATCATACATTTCTTTAAATATTATTCCAAATGAGACAATCCATCATCTTAATAAAAATCAGTTACTAATATAACAATCTTTTCTCTTTATATAATAATATTTGTACCTCTTCAAACAACATCTTAATCATTTCTACTTTCATTACAACCTAATTAGTTCATAATACAATATCATTTCAACTTTTTTTCTTTTTTAGATTCCAAATATGCAATTAAAAATATTCCAGCTATTAGTTCCAACAGTACAATTTAAAATCTCATTTATTTTCTTATTCATATTCCAAAACCTATTTCAATTCATTCATATATTCATATAATTTTCCATTATTTTATATTACTTAATATCCCAATCTCATCTTTTTCTAACAAATCATTTCTTTCTCCCTTTCTTTTTTTATTACTTAATTAATATCCCAATCTCATCTTTTTCTAACAAATCTTATTTCAATTCATATTTCAATTCTAAATGTTTACAACATATATCTCTTCATTTCTTTCTCCCTTTTTTCTTTTTCTTCCCCTTTCTTTTCTTTTGTGCTTTAGAATCCTGAACTCTCCTATTTTGCCCTGAATTTCCCATAGTTTTCAATCGCTTTTCCCTCTTTCTTGTTTTCCCACTGTTAATCCCAGTGTAATCATTTAATTTTTTTGTATTCTTTCTGTTCGACCCTTTCTTCCATCTTTGTCTCTTTCCACCCTTTCTATTTTTTCCATTGTTAATCCCAATGTAATCTTTAACTTTCTCCTTTTTATTTTTACTACAGCAGCATCCCACACTCATGATCCCCATTTGTGACCTTCCCAGCTAGTTTCTGACAAGCAAAACCAGTGGATATACTGGCAGGAAATTGCAAGTCACGGTCATATGAAATTGTCTTTAACAACCCACAGTAATTTGCTTAACAACTACAGAGGAACAGATGTAGGTTGGCCCTATCATGTGACAACATACTTAATGATTGAGCTGCTTATTGATGCAGATATCAGTTCCAGTTGTGGTAGGTTATGTGAGGACTACTTGAACAAGGATGTCACCAAAGGGGTTGTAGAAAGTATTTTCTGCTCTTATTTGCAGCTGAGGACTTCCATGAGCAAAAGTAGTGCTTCAAATCTTGCAGAGACTTTTGGCATCATTTCATTTCGTCAGGCTTGAAAGACATAGATTTTCTCCATATATACATGTGTACGTGGGTGTATCTGTATTTCTGTCTGTGTATATCTGCAATTATATAACCTATCCCCAGCACTTCAAGATATATTTGATGATAACTCTTTGCATTGATAAGAATTTATGATTGACTCCACTAAATAACTGAATTTGATTGAATGGATATTTGAACATGGATCTCAGTAGTACTCCATGTGTTATATGAATCATCAATAATGTAAGTGATTATTCTAGTGTTGGGGCATATTTGTTTTTCATTGTAATGTATACTTTTTTCATTTTTCACATCTAACCATTTTAAAAACAAAGTTACACTTTTCTTTGAATCTTACAGGCAAACAGGATGGCAATAAGAGCACTCTGGACAACTGTAAATAACAAGCAAAGTTGAAAAGGGAAGGAAATCAAGCCAGAAATCAAAATATTTTCCTTTTCCTTCAGAAAACCATACAATTCTGCTTCTCCTCCAGCAGCTGTTAGACAAAAGAGAGAAAATCAAAAAAGAATAAGCAGATTATGCAGAACTGAAGGATACATTACATGAAAAGTGAAGAGAGATTATCATTCAGCAAAAGAGGGAAATATCTGGAAGTCAGTGGGGAGGAAACTGTCAATAGTAAAGTCACGCAGAACAGACAGGAATACAGGCTTCTCCCTGTGAAGAAGAAAATGGCTTGAATGATAGCACCGCTAAACAAGGCATTGTCCATATTTGTTTACCTCCTCAAGAATATCAGCTGTGGAAAAGCTTCATAGATTTGCCTATTGTGGAAAAAGCACTGATTGCAAATAACAGCTGATTATGCACAAGAGGAGCCAGAAAGGAGAAAAGCCATACAAATTACCTGATTGTGGGAAAAACTATGCTTTAGTGAGCATGGCAATATGTTGCTACATCAGATAACTCACAGGAGGGAGAAAACATATGACTGTGGAGATTCTGTGAAAGTTTCATGAGAAATTCCCAGGTCATGACACGCTAAAGGACACACACACAGGAATATAACCATTTGAACGTCCTTTCTGCGGGAAATGTTTCAGTGAGAATTCCATCCTTGTGAAGCACCCGAGGACTCACACAACAGTGAAACCCTTTGAATGTCCTGATTGTGGAAAAAGTTTCAATCACAATTTCAGTCTGATGTGTCAGTAGATTGACTCCACAAAGAAACTATATGAATGTCTAGATTGTGGGGAAATGTTCATTACAATTTTCCATCTCATGAGACACCAGAGAACTCACTCGGAAGAGAAGCCCTTTGAATGTCCTGATTATGGGACAGTCACAATTCCAGCCTAGGATTAAACCAGAAGACTCACATAGGAGAGAAATGCTTTGAATGTCCTGATTGTTGGGAAACTTTCAGTTATAATTCCAATTTGGTGATACATCAAAGGACTCGTAAAGGAGAAAAACCTGTACAATGTCCTGACTGTGGGAGAAGTTTCAGTTGTAATTCACGCCTGATTCCATGGAGAAATCTCATGAGTGTCGAGATTGTGGGAAAGGTTTCATTAGAAATTCCCACCTCCTGAGACACAAGACCACGCACACAGGAGAGAAACCCACTGAATGTCCTGACTGTGGGAAAAGCTTTAGTGATAATTCCAGCCTGGTGAAACACCAAAGGATTCACACAGGAGAGAAACCCTTTGAATGTCTTGACTGTGGGAAACGTTACAGTCAGAATTCCCACCTGGTGATACACCAGAGGACTCACACAGGAGAGAAACCCTTTGAATGTCCTATCTGTGGGAAAAGCTTTAGTGATAATTCCAATCTGCTGACACACCAGAGGATTCACACAGGAGAGAAACCCTTTGAATGTCCTGACTGTGGGAAACGTTACAGTCAGAATTCTCACCTGGTAACACACCAGAGGACTCACACAGGAGAAAAACCCTTTGAATGTCCTATCTGTGGGAAAAGCTTTAGTGATAATTCCAATTTGCTGACACACCAGAGGACTCACACAGGAGAGAAACCCTTTGAATGTCCTGACTGTGGGAAACGTTACAGTCAGAATTCCCACCTGGTGATACACCAGTGGACTCACACAGGAGAGAAACCCTTTGAATGTTCTATCTGTGGGAAAAGCTGTAGTGATAATTCCAATCTGCTGACACACCAGAGGACTCACACAGGAGAGAAACCCTTTGAATGTCTTGACTGTGGGAAACGTTACAGTCAGAATTCCCACCTGGTGATACACCAGAGGACTCACACAGGAGAGAAACCCTTTGGATGTCCTATCTGTGGGAAAAGTTTTAGTAATAATTCTAGCCTTGTGAAACACCAGAGGATTCACACAGGAGAGAAACCCTTTGAATGTCCTGATTGTGGGAGATGTTTCAGTCGCAATTACACGCTGGTGACACACCAGAGGACTCACACAGGAGAGAAACCGTTTGAATGTCCTGATTGTGGGAAAAGTTTTAGTCACAGTTCCAGTCTGGTGACACACCAGAGGATTCACACAGGAGAGAAACCCTTTGAATGTCCTGTCTGTAGGAAAGGTTTTTGTGATCATTCCAGCCTGATGAGACACCAGAGGACTCACACAGGAGAGAAACTCTTTGAATGTCCTATCTGTGGGAAAAGCTTTAGTGATCATTCCAATCTGCTGACACACCAGAGGACTCACACAGGAGAAAAACCCTTTGAATGTCCTATCTGTGGGAAAAGCTTTAGTGATAATTCCAATTTGCTGACACACCAGACAACTCACACAGGAGAGAAACCCTTTGAATGTCCTGACTGTGGGAAACGTTACAGTCAGAATTCCCACCTGGTGATACACCAGTGGACTCACACAGGAGAGAAACCCTTTGAATGTTCTATCTGTGGGAAAAGCTTTAGTGATAATTCCAATCTGCTGACACACCAGAGGACTCACACAGGAGAGAAACCCTTTGAATGTCCTGACTGTGGGAAACGTTACAGTCAGAATTCCCACCTGGTGATACACCAGAGGACTCACACAGGAGAGAAACCCTTTGAATGTCCTATCTGTGGGAAAAGTTGTAGTAATAATTCTAGCCTTGTGAAACACCAGAGGACTCACACAGGAGAGAAACCCTTCGAATGTCCTGATTGTGGGAGATGTTTCAGTCGCAATTACACGCTGGTGACACACCAGAGGACTCACACAGGAGAGAAACCGTTTGAATGTCCTGATTGTGGGAAAAGTTTTAGTCACAGTTCCAGCCTGGTGACACACCAGAGGATTCACACAGGAGAGAAACCCTTTAAATGTCCTGTCTGTAGGAAACGTTTTTGTGATCATTCCAGCCTGATGAGACACCAGAGGACTCACACAGGAGAGAAACCCTTTGAATGTCCTGACTGTGGGAAACGTTACAGTCAGAATTCCCACCTGGTGAAACACCAGAGGATTCACACAGGAGAGAAACCCTTTGAGTGTCCTGACTGTGGGAAAAGTTTCAGTCAGAATTCCCACCTAGTGATACACCAGAGGACTCACACCGTGGAGAAATCTTTGAAATGTCCTCCAGAAGTTAAAACTGTTTTAATCAGCTGAGAAACAGTTTGGACACAACTTGGATGGACTGCCCAAGAACCTATGCGAAGTCTGTCCACAAGCAGCTGCAAAAAAAGTCAGGCAGCAGTGCAACAGGTGTCAGGGTGTGGGAGGCCTGGCTGCGATGGTCCTAAGGAAAGCGGGTAAGATATGCCCCGAAACTAAAACCTGGTTCTTATTTTGGGGCCCAAAAGAAAATAAAACTGGGTCTTATTTTCGGAGAAATACAGGGTATGTATATATGTATAATCTATCTCCAGCACTTCCGGGTATATATGATGATAACTCTTTGCAATTCTATGAACCCATGATTGACCCAGGTCAACAAATAAATATCATAACTGAATGGGTATTTGACATGTCTATAGAAAATGTAAATAATTAATGTAAGAGGTTAAGTTAGCATTTTGGCATCTTTGTCTTTTATTGTATTGTATGCCTTTGGATCTGTTTTTTTAAAAATATTGTGCAGCCATTTTATAAACCATAATTAAACTAACCCTTTTATGTGAATCTTACAGGCAAAAAGAATGCCAAAGGGAGCACTGTGGAGAACTGAATCACAAGCAGAGCCGCTTATTGGCCCTGGGCGCCCGAGAGAAGTACCAGCTGGCCATTTCGAAAGGGGCGGGAGCAGTTTATGCAGTGGGCAAGCCGCGGGACACAGTCTGAACCTCCTCGGTTGTGGTGCTTCCCCTGATAATTCCAGCCTGGTGAAACACCAGAGAACTCACACAGGAGAGAAACCCTTTGAATGTCTTGACTCTGGGAGATGTTTCAGTCACAATTACACACTGGTAACACACCAGTGGACTCACACAGGAGAGAAACCCTTTGAATGACTTATCTGTGGGAAAGGTTTTTGCGATAATTCCAACCTGGAGAGACACAAGAGGACTCACACAGGGGAGAAAACTTTCAAATGTTCAATCTGTAGATGTTACTTCAGACATAAATCATCACTTATTGCACACTACGAAATACATATGAGGCAAAAGTAGATGAGTTTAGAGAAGGCTTTTCCTTTGTAATCTCCCATTGAAAGTGTGGGTGAGAAATTGACTAATTGAATTCTGGCCTGATTCTTTTTACTCAAAACATATCTCAGGATTAGATTTATAGATAGAGAGAAAAGGGAAATGGAAAAAGGCTCACTTTTTTGGTTATCAGCAGAACGTTTTGTTTCTGGTTATTGGCAGCAGTTTCTGGATATTTCCTTTTGTAGAAGTAGTGAAATTCCTCATGGCTTCTGGATGATAGTTTTGAAGATTGATTATGTAACTCCCATATGTGGAGTTTCAGCCTTCTACCTTGGTTTCCTCTAGATTTTTAGTCCCAGAATTCCCCAGCCAACATATAAATAGTCCTCAAGATACAACTGTCATGGCCTTGCAATTATGGTTGCATGTTGCCACGGCTGTTAAGTGAGATTGCTTTTCTTAACTACCCGAATCATTTCTTACTCCCACTGGGTCCCTGCAGTCCTTAGGTCTGACTCCCACCCCACCAGGCCTCACATCCTCCTCCTCCTCATCTGTTAAAGATCTCTGATCCTCATGTCGGGGAAGGATGGGAGGACACGTATCCCTGGGCCTCATAACTGTCCTGGAAGCAGCCACTATTTTCAGTGGGCCCCTGATTCATCCCTGGGCCATGGGATGGACTTGTGGAAGTGGCTGCCATTTTGCCACACTGTCCACACTGTCGCGCAGAAGAGGGACAAGCCTCTGTTTGCTACCTTAACATGAGGAAAAACATGTACAGTTGAAAATCTTTCATTTTTAAAAATGCATCATGTTAGAAGTATCAGTAGCTTTTGACAAGGGAAAAAATGGGTTTGTCAGTGTTGCTATGAACATTAGGGCAAGGCAAGAAGCTCAGAGTTGCCTCAAACTGCAAGATGGACAGTGATTAAATTTAATAATAAATGAATTTAATAATAAAAAGGTAACGTAAAATTCATTTCCCAGCTCCTGCTGAGTGATGTGGATTCCACAGATACAGTGGATTTCTAATACACTACAATTGTTAACTTGTATTTTTCTTTAAAAAAATAGGTCAGGATTTCTTTGAAGTTTTCCAAATAATCCCTACAAGTAAAGAGAGGAACATTATTTGGAGCAATGAACAGATATTTAAGCTATGCAAATGAATGATCCTGATTTTGCTGACTTTAGGCGTCACCAAAGAATAGCAAGTTTGTTCATTTCACTAACACAATTCAGAGGACTGGTTCCAATTTTTTTTCTAGTGGATCATACTGTTGGTAGGTAGTGCAGGCTGTCTGTGGGTATATTGACCCTGTAAAGTACAGTATGCTACACAGGAAGTGCTTTGCATGGCATCTTGAGTTCCTGAATGAAAAGGAAATCAATAAAATATACCTTGCGGTTCATTTATTCCAGATTCCTCCATGCAACAGAGCTCAGATCCGATAGCTAAAAGACCACTAAAGGTAAAGGTTCCCCTCACACATATGTGCTAGTTGTTCCCGACTCTAGGGGGCAGTGCTCATCTCCCTTTCATAGCCGAAGAGCCAGCACTGTCCGAAGACATCTCCGTGGTCATGTGGCCGGTATGACTAAACGCCAAAGGCTCACGGAACGTTGTTATCTTCCCACCAAAGGTGGTTCCTATTTTTTTTACTTGCATTTTTTATGTGCTTTCGAACTGCTAGGTTGGCAGAAGCTAGGACAAGTAACGGGAACTCACCTTGTTACGCGGCACTAGGGATTTGAACCGCTGAACTACCGACCTTTCGATTGGCAAGCTCAGTGTCTTAGCAACTGAGCCACTGTGTCTCTAAAAGACCACTATTACATTCCAAACCTTACTGGATCTGCACTGAAAATGACAGTGCAGGCTGTCCCTCTAAAAAGATTAGCCTGGTTATTAATCAACCATATGCTTTGGTGGGATATTTTACTCTTCCCTTTTGTTTTCTTTAAAATGTAAAAATATTTCTTCTACTATATATTGACAATCACCCCCTCTTTCTTAGCCTCCATTTTCTCAGCCCTGCTGCATACTTTCTGTGACCTAATGGAGATTTCCATGCATGTAGATTTAGAGAATTTACACATGGCATTTAACAGATATAAAATTTCCTCCTGGAATCAAGCTTCTTGCTGGGAGCTCTTGGATGCAGCCCTGGCCAGCAGGAGTGAAGCTGGCTCCCCTGAAGTGTGTGGCCTGATGGTGCTGCCATGTCCTAAAATCTTGGTGTCTGCAGTGGAGAGCAAAATCCAGATTCTTCTCTGCTATAGTGCGGCATCAGGACATTGGTATCTGCAATGCAGACACTGGTGTCTGCAATGGAGAGCAAAATCCAGCTTCTTCTCTCTGCTGTAGTGCGGCATCAGGATTACACCTTGGTATATTTGCGGTACAAGGCAGCCCTCATTTCCTGCCGCTTGGGACTTGGAACAGTAAACAGCGTCAGGTTCAGGGAGCAGCTGGATTTTGCTCTCCATTGCGGACGAGAGACGAAAGCTTGCAGGGGCCCAATCTGGCATCTGTAATGGAGAGTAAAATACAGCTGCTCCCCAAACCAGATGCCGTTTACCGCTCCGAATCCCAAGCAGCAGGAGATGAGGGCTGCTTTGCACCACCGGCTGGCGCAAACATACCGAGGCGAATGCTGATGCCGCACAAGTTCAAGTAGTGCTTTGCTCCCGCACTTCTTCGCCTTCCCTGTGAAGAAGGCAAGAGTAACTTGAATCAATGCTCCATCCAACCAGGGATTGAGAGTATTTTTGATGTCCTTGAGAATCCAAGAATGTCAGTGGTGGAAAAAGATCCACAGATCTGCCTATTATGGGAAAGCAAAGGTTATAGAACACAGCCAATTATGCCCGGGAGGATCCACACTGGGAGTGGTTGGCACAGCAAGTCTTCAGACTTCTGTCTGGAAAACGGGAGAATTATCAAGAATGTTTGTACTACCTGTCTTGTAGGAGTAGCTGCACACCGACACTATTCAAAGATACACAAAGGCTATCCCCTTCACCTACTTCCACATAACGCAAGGGTCCTCAAACTTTTTAAACAGGGGGCCGATTCATGGACCCTCAGACTTGTGGGGGGCGGACCAGCTGGGTCTGGCTAGGTCATGTGAATGTGTGAGCATGGCTTCTTGTCATGTGATTGTGGGCATGGCCAATTTAGCAGTCCATTAAACAATATACAGTGACCCTTTTTTCTATTCTTTTTATGCATGAAGTTTTTGCTCTAGGGGGGAGAGGTTGGCAATGCCTGGGGAAGGAAAGGCATGCTTTCTGCAGGTCTCATGACTATATTTAAAGAGCCAGCTGATGTCATTGGTGTTGGGAGATTCATTGGTGAGATGATAGTGACTGGATTAGCGATGTTCACTGGTGCGGTAACGAGTTGGTAAATTGACATGTGGTGAGTATTAACAGAGAAGTCATGGACAAAGCAAGGGCTGACCAAACAGGATGGCCTAAGTTCATTGGGCTGGAGATGTTAACCACACTCCAAACATTGGCTGGACTTCTCATATTTTTTTTTTTAATTTGATTTATATGCCGCCCTTCTCCGGAGACTCAGGGCGGCTTACAATGCGCTAAGCAATAGCCTTCATTCTTTCGTATATTTATACAAAGTCAGCTTATTGCCCCCACAACTGGGTCCTCAATATTCATTGCAGCAGCCACAATACAAGGAGCTGCTCCTTTGGTACTCGCCTCCCCCAAATTGTCAGCAGCTGTGCTGCTTTCTCCGGGGAATCGGCTGCTTCCCAAGCACTCAGAAACTCTGCTTATGACTCATAGATATTTTATGCAAAGGATATGCTGGCTAGGAAGTTCTGACCTCAAAATCTGGAAGACATTCAGGATGCAGAAGGATGAAACTGAATCTTGCATTTCTCTAAGACAAATTTAAACTAACATGATGGAAATAGCAGAATATATAAAAAACAATCCTCTGTACAATAAAAAGATAAATTAGGCACCCCTCCCAAACATACTAACACTATATATATCTAACAAAATTGAGCAAATTAAAAGGCAGCCCCAAACAAACGCCAGAGGAGTTAGTCACAGGGCCAGGCAGAAGCCACTGTCCAATCAGAGGAACCCTCCGTTTCCTCAGAAGAAAAGTCTGAAACTAACTCAGATTGAAAGACGAAAAAGATCTGTTTTCTGGAGAGTAAGGGTGAGCCGATTGCAGAGTGAACTGAATTTTGAAAGCTGCAGCCTTGAATTTGCTGTTGAATCAGCACGAAGAGCTCAATGAGTAGATTTGTGGGGAAGATGATGATCCAGGTGAGTGTAATGGTGAAAGCTACAGGTTAGAGCAGTGGTTCCAGTGGTGAGATTCAAAATTTCTTACTACCACCTCTGTTGTTGGGCTGTAATCTGGTCTCTTCTACTACTTTTCTCTTTGCAGACATCTTGTCTGTTGCTCTGGTCACTGCAAGCAGCCAGTCTGTTACATTTCTCTCTATGGTCCTTGGACCCCCACCTCAGGAATTTCTCCTTGTGGCTTTTCCTAAAATGGTGCTTGTTCTCCTCAGCAATCAAACAAGCTTTCAGGGTTTCCAAACGCAATTCCTGCTCTGGTTTGCAAGCAAATACTGCAGACACTATGTCCCACGTTTCATCCAGACTTTTTAACACCAACAGCACCCTCTGAGATTCAGGAATCTGCACCCCATGCTGTTCTAGCTCAATAAATAAAGTCTACATGTGTACAAAATGCTGCTCCACAGATTTATGTGGTGCAAGCTGGGCTCTGTATAATTGTCTTGACAATTGCACAATATTGCATGCTGACACATTCACATGCACACTTCTCAACTTCAGCCAGACTTCATGTGCAGTTTTTAAATTAGCCACACTGATAAATTGTTCATCTTCTAAACTCAAGATTATGTAGGACATTGCTTTATCATGCTGCTTCTGATCTGCAGCTGCTAATGGTGCCTGGGGTGGATTAACAACAATACGCTAGAGCTCCTTAGCCTTCAGGAAACATTCCATCTTTGCAGCCCAAATAATATAATTCTTCTGACCCAATCGAGGCAGAGAGCTCTCCTTGAATTCAACAGCCATCCTGCAATCCTTCTCTGCCTGGTTTCTCTTTTAACACAGGCAGTCCCTTAGCTTAATTACAGTTCAGACTTTCTGTGTGCTCTGGGCCCATAACCTGTCAGAGTTTGCAGCAATCCTCTCTTCTGTTCCTGTTAGTATCTTACTATATCTAATTCTGTCAACACCATATAAAAGCCATATAATTTAGCATCTTTTTCATACCTAGATTCAGTGGTGGGTTGCTCCCGGTTCGCACCGGTTCACAAGAACCGATAGTAAAAAAATTTAGTAGTTTGGAGAACCAATAAGATTGGCTGGCCACACCCCTGAACCGGTCCCCGGCCCAGTTCCCCCTCGCTTACCCTGCCCACCTCATGAGAGGCATTTTTTTTAACTTTTAGAAGCATTTTTTCTACAACCTCTTCGGGTGAAAAAATACTTTTAAAAGTTAAAAAAAAGCCTCTGATGATCGCGCGGCTCAGCTGTGATCGTCAGAGGCTTCTGAAAGCATTTTTTTTTTTTGCAACCTCTTCAGCTGAAGAGGTTGTAGGAAAAAAATCCCTTTAAAAGCCTCCGGCGATCCCAGATGATTTGCCTGATCATCAGAAGCTTGAAGAGGTTGCAGAAAAAAATGCTTTTAGCAGCTTCTGACAATCAGGCAAATCTGCTGGGATTGCCAGAGGCTTTTAAAGGGATTTTTTTTCCTACAACCCCTTGGGCTGAAGAGGTTGTAGGGGAAAAAAACTCCTTTTTGGGGGATTTTTTCCCCCTACAGCCGATCCCAGATCGTCAGAAGCTTCTAAAAGCATATTTTTCTTCTCACCCAGATCAATCATACCTTCCTTCCATCTTCTCGCTCTTTCGGTGACTGCCCCAGCTTGATAGCAGCATGCAATGGCCGCTTTCCCAGCTGTCAGTTTGAGGGACTTTCTCTGAATCGATCAGGGAGTTTGCGGGCTCCCTGAGATCAACAGATGGTGCGCTCCCCTTGTTTATCATCCCTCCGAGACATTTAGACCCAGTTTGGGCCACTCCGGCAGCTGGGATTTTGACAACCATGAGGTTCCCTGAAGCACGTCATATCGCTGTGAACTCAGCCCCGCCCCCTAACAGAAATAGAAGAGAGGATAATAAAAAAACCATATAGCTATTTACTGAGTATTAAATTAGAAGAACAAGTAAAGGAAACAATGATAGCCTGGGCAAAACATTTTGGTTATACGATAGAACTAGCAAAATGACAGCAATTATGGGATAGAAATTACAAACTAACAATGTCAACTGAGTATAAAGAGAATTTGTATAAGATGTTCTACAGATGGCATTTGCCACTGGCACGATTGGGGAAGATGTTTAAAGATAAATCAGCTAAATGTTGGAAATATCATCAGACACCAGCTCATATTATCATATGTGATGGGCATGTGTAGAAGATAAAAAAAATTGGACAAAAATATGTACATGGTTGGAAAAGATGATACAACATATTGATTTGAAACCTGAAATATTTTTGTTGGGGATACTGCCAGAAACGTATAGTAAAGAAAATGTATATTTGATTATTCATGTAATAATTGCAGCTAGAATTGTATTTGCACAAAATTGGAAAAGTGAAGATTCCTAGAGAGGAGAATATGATAAGGAAAATATTAGAATGTGCAGAAATGAATAGATTAACACTGGCAATTAAAGAGAAAGAACAAACTGGTTATTATGCGATATGGAAAACATTTTATCGATGGTTAGAGGACAAATATAAAAATTAGAAATAAAAGTAGATGAGTAAAATATAGAAAATAGTCAATAGAGTTAAGCAAACTAAGAAGAGGATGTAAAGTATCAGATATTTAATGTATTGGTATTAAGCTAAGAATAGATTAAATAACGAATATGATTGTAAATTTTAATTGTTATTGCACCAACATTTGAACCCCAATGACACACTGTTTAATGGAAGATGGATTATTGTACTAAAATAAAATTTTTAAAAGTTTTTTTAAAAAAGAGTTTGCAGCAATGACATCCAGAAAGCACACACAGGTAAATGATTCAGCAGGATTCATTAACTTCTTTATATACATAACAACACATAAGGCATATATACAATACTAAAACCAGGTTTTCCAATGTGGTAGAGAGGAGAGATTGTAAGTAGGTAGAAACATAGGCAAGAGTTTTAGTTCATTTCAGAGCTAAGCCACGCCCAGGCTCCAACTGTTTCAGCTCCCATTAGCTGATCTGTTGTTATGCCTATTCATTGGCTGACCTTGTTACCATGTCTCTGTCAGTCATGAATACACTGACACTCAACTGGACTATTGCAATGCTCTCTACATGGGGCTCCCCTTGAAAAGCACCCAGAGGCTCCAACTGATCCAGAATGCGGCCGCGCGGGTGGTTATGGGCGCAACTCGTTGTGCCCACGTGACACCCCTCCTGCGCGAGCTGCACTGGCTCCCAGTGGTCTTCCGGGTACGATTCAAGGTGTTGGTTACCACCTTTAAAGCGCTCCATGGCATTGGACCTGGATACCTTTGAGACCGTCTTCTGCCACCAGTAGCCTCCCACCGGCCAGTTCGCTCCCACAGAGAGGGTCTCCTCAGAGTGCCATCGGCCAAATTATGCCGGCTGGCGACACCCAGGGGGAGGGCCTTCTTTCTGGGAGCCCCTGCCCTTTGGAATGAACTGCCCCCAGAAATTCGTAAAATCTCTGATCTCCGTGTATTTCGCTGTGCCTCAAAACCATGTTGTTCCGCCAGGCTGGGCTATCAATGTAAAGATTTTAATTGGTTTTAAATGGGATTTTAAATTTGGGGTTTTATAAATTGGGCGTATTATTTAATAATTTTAATTATTTTTAAATTTTGTCTGTCTTTGTGTTTTTAATTAGGCTGTACACCGCCCTGAGTCCTTCGGGAGAAGGGCAGTATAGAAATAATATTAATAAATAAATAAAATAAATAAATGACTGAAACTCTTCCTACAGATAGCACATTCAAAGGATTTCTCTCCTGTGTGAGTCCACTGGTGTTTCAATAGGTTGGAATTCTTAATGAAACTTTTCCCAGTCAGGACATTCAAATGATTTGTCTCCTGTGTAAGTCATCTGATGTGTAACCAGGCTGGAATTATCACTAAAACGTTTCCCGCAGATAGGACATTCAAAAGGTTTCTTTCCTGTGTGAGTCCTCCGGTGTATCACCAGTTGGGAATTACGACTGTAACGTTTCCCACAGTCAGGACATTCAAAGGGTTTCTCTCCTGTGTGAGTCCTCTGGTGTATCACCAGGTGGGAATTCTGATTGTAACGTTTCCCACAGTCAGGGCATTCAAAGGGTTTCTCTCCTGTGTGAGTCCTCTGGTGTGTCACCAGATTGGAATTATCACTAAAGCTTTTCCGACAAATAGGACATTCAAAGGGTTTCTCTCCTGTGTGAGTCCTCTGGTGGTTCACCAGGCTGGAATTGTAATAAAAACCTTTCCTACAGATAGGACATTCAAAGGGTTTCTCTCCTGTGTGAGTCCTCCAGTGAATCACCAGTTGGGAATTACGACTGTAACGTTTCCCACAGTCAGGACATTCAAAGGGTTTCTCTCCTGTGTGAGTCCTCTGGTGTATCACCAGGTGGGAATTCTGATTGTACCGTTTCCCACAGTCAGGGCATTCAAAGGGTTTCTCTCCTGTGTGAGTCCCCTGGTGTGTCACCAGATTGGAATTATCACTAAAGCTTTTCCCACAGATAGGACATTCAAAGGGTTTCTCCCCTGTGTGAGTCCTCTGGTGTTTCAGCAGGCTGGAATTATCACAAAAACCTTTCCTACAAATAGGACATTCAAAGGGTTTCTCTCCTGTGTGAGTCCTCTGGTGTTTCACCAGGCTGGAACTCAGGCTAAAACTTTTCCCACAATCAGGACACTCAAAGGGTTTCTCCCCTGTGTGAGTCCTCTGGTGGGTCACCAGGCTGGAACTCAGACTAAAACTTTTCCCACAATCAGGACATTCAAAGGGTTTCTCTCCTGTGTGAATTCTCTGGTGTGTCACAAGGGTGGAATTCCGACTAAAACCTTTCCCACACTCAGGACATTCATATGGCTTGTCTCCTGTGTGAATCCACTGGTGTGTGACCAGACTGGAATTCTGACTGAAACTTTTGCCACAGATAGGACATTCAAAGGGTTTCTCTCCTGTGTGCGTGGTCTTGTGTCTCAGGAGGTTGTAATTTCTAATGAAACCTTTCCCACAATCTTGACACTCATAAGGTTTCTCCATGGAGTGAATCTTCTGATGTATTACGAGGCAGGAATTACGACTGAAACTTCTCCCCCAGTCAGGACGTTGAATGAGTTTTTCTCTTTTATGGTTCCTCTGGTGATCACCAAATTGGAATTATAATTGAAAGTTTTCCAACGATCAGGACTTTCAAAGCACTTCTCTCCTATATGAGTCCTCTCCTGTATCACCAGGCTGGAATTGTGACTTTCCCACAATCAGGACATTTAAAGGGTTTCTTTTCTGTGTGAGTTCTCTGGTGTCTCATGAGATTGAAATTTCTAATGAAGCTTTTCATTCTAGACACTCATACAGTTTCTCCTTTGACTTTTCAAGTAATGTATCCTTGAGTTCTGCATAATCTGCTTATTCTTTCTTAATTTTCTCTTTTTTGTCTAACAGCTGCTGGAGGAGGAAAATTGTGTGGTTTTTCTGAAGGAAATGGAAAATATTTTGATTTCTGGCTTAATTTTCTTCTCTTTTCAATGTTGCTTGTTATTTACAGTTGTCCTGAATGCTCTTATTGCCATCCTCTTTGTCTGTAAGATTCAAAGAAAAGTAGAATTTTTATTGTTTATAAAACAGTTAGAGATGTGGTGAAAAAACAAAAAAAAATATTACAATGAAAAAGCAAACATGCCCCAATACTAGAATAATCTCTTACATTATTGATGACTCATTTGATACATGGAAGACTACCGAGATCCACATTCAAATATCCATTCAAATTCAGTTGTTGATTGGGGCCAATCATAAATTCTTAGCAATGTAAAGTGTTATCATCAAATATATCTTGAAGTATTGGGGATAGGTTATGTAATTGCAGATATATGCATAGAGAGAAATACAGATACACCCACTATATAACAGAAAATACTGTCTACAACCCCTCTGGTGACATCCCAATTCAAGTAGTCCTCACTTAACTTACCACAATTGGAACTGAGCGTCACTAATCATTAAGCATGATGTCACATGACAGTGCCAATTTACATCTGTTTCTCTGTAGTTGTTAAGCAAATTACTGTGGGTTGTTAAAGGCAATTTGATATAACCATGACTTGCAATTTCCTGCCAGTATATCCACTGATTTGCCATATCAGAAGCTAGCTGGGAAAGTCACAAATTGGGATCATGAGTGTGGGATGCTGCCGCCATCGTAAATGTGCAACTATTGGCAGAACCCGAATTGGTGCAACTACTTTTCCTGCATCTTCAAAACCACAGTCACTGCTGACGTGCGGTCCCTGAACAAGTGCTAGAAGTACCACAAATTTTGTGGACCAGGTGCATGTCTGTTTCTACTGTGCCATAGTAACTTTGAAGGCTCAGGGAAGAAGTGGTAAGTGAGGACTACCTGTGCAACCAAAGATGCCAAAAGGTCCTCAATAGCTATTTCTTAGGAAGTTCTGAATTAAGCACAATTGAACCTGGTTAATACATGGATGGTGGGACAGGAAATACCATACTTATTGGCAAGACATGGAAGTAAAAAATCTTGTAAATTACATTCATCTGTCATTTTCAATACACGTGAATTACAAACTATATCAAGAGGGCAACATCAAGATGTAATGGGAGACTTTAACTACCCTGATACTGTATCAACTGGGAGACAAACTCTACAGCGAGTAGAGATTGAACAGATTCCCAACCAATTTAGCTGACAACTTTTTCATCCAAAAGGTAGAGGAGACAACTAGAGGAAAAACTACACTGGACCTAATTCTTACTAATAGAAAAGCTATAGAAGGAGTTGAAGTTGTCGGAACCTTGGGCGAATTCCACATCTTACTGGAATTCAATATAATGCAAACACAAGCAACAGAATATAATCCAACCAGTGTCTTAAACTTTAGAAGAGCTGATTTTAACAAATTCAGAGCCTAAGCAATATTTCATGGATAAAAATCCTAAAGGAGAAAACAACTCAAGGAGCGTGGGAAATACTGGAAAATATCATATAAGCCCAGTCCAACACAATATCACTAAAAACAAAAAACCAGAACTCCAAGAAGAAGCCAGCATGGTTGCATAAAGATCTCTCCAATAAACTGAAAGACAAAAAGGAGAAGTACAAAAAATGGAAAGAGGGACACATAACTAAGGCAGAATATCAGCAGATAGCCCAAATCTGAAAAGATAAAGTCAGGAAAGCAAAGGCTCAGAATGAACAAAGACTTGGAACAAAAGTTAAACATAACAAAAACAAGTTTCTTTCAACATATATGTACAGTACTAGCTGGACGCCTGTGCTTTGCTACGAAACTATGGGGCTTGATAAATTGAGACTTACAGCCTGAAACATAATGTAGAATGCGTAACTCTGTAGCATTAGAGTATGTTGGAACAGAGGGGATGGGGGAGTAGAATGTCCCAGGTATTCATCTGGCTAGCAACCTGTCAGTGTGTGAGAGAGTTGAGGGGTGTTTGGAAATTCAAGCAGTATTTGCAGTGTGAGCAAAGAGGAGACAGGAAGGAGGCTGGGTGTGGGTTAGCTCAACTGTTCTGTAGTAAAGCTGCTTGCTGCTGTGAAAGTAAAACAAAGTAAAACTCCTCTCCTCTGCTTGTGTTTTGAATTTCGAACAGATTTCTTTTGAGGTGAGGAGCGGGAGTAGAACTCCTTAGCATCAGAGAGAGGAACAGATTTCTTTTCAGGTGGGGAGGGGGAGTAGAACTCCTTAGCATCAGAGGGCTGTTTGGAAAGTGAAACAGAATTTGCTGTTTGAGCAAGAAGGAGACAGGAAAGAGCCTGGCCGTGGCTTTGCTCAAGTGTTTTGTATTAAAGCTGCTTCCTGCGGTGAAAGTAAAACTGAAAGTGAAACTCCTCTCTTCTACTTGCTTTTTGCATTTCAAACAGATTTCTTTTCAGGTGGGGAGGGGGAGTAGAACTCCTTAGCATCAGAGCATGTTAATATTAATATAGGAAATATTAATGCTCTGATGGTCATTTCAAAAAATCCTTTCTTAGTGAGCACCTAGAAGCCAAGAGGAACATACGTGATAAATTTCAAGTTTTTAGGCTTTACGGTTTTGGAGGTTTCATGATTATGGCATGAGTGGTTTTCACTTTTATATATAAAGATATATAACAAGAAAAATGTCAAGGAAACAGTCCATTAAAGAGAGAAAATGGCAAGGAAGTAAGAAACTGTAGAGAGAAAACAGAGCTGCTTAAGTCATTCTTTGCATCAGTCTTCATACAAAAAAAAAACTATAGCCCAACCAATCAAAAACGTAACTGTAAAAGACAGAGTAGACATAAAAATTAAAATAAGCAAGAAAATGGTAAGTGTCTGACCTTGAGGAATATAAATCACCAGGACCTGATGGATTACATCCCAGAGTTCTGAAGGAGCTGGCAAATGTTATCTCAGAACCATTGTACCTTATCTTTAAAAAATCCTAGAGCACCAGATACTACCAGAGGATTGGAAAAGAACTAATGTGGTTGCCATCTTCAAAAAAGGGAAAAACACAGACCCAAGAAACTACAGACTAATCAGCCTAACATCAATACCTGGGAAGATACTGGAAGAAGTAAAGAAAAAACAGGTCTGCAAAGGTGAAGTCAGGAAAGTTCATGCTAGAATGAACCAAGACATGCAAGATATGTCAAGAAGAATTTAAAAAGCAAAATACAAGAAAAAAGTCAAAGAAACAATTGGTCTACTAATGGGAGATGTTGGCAAGGAAGTGACAGCCGTTAGAGACAAAGCATAGCTCCTTAATTTATTGTTTGCATCTGTCTTCAGGCAAAAAGAAAAAGTAGCCCAACTTAGAAAAAACAGAACTGTAAAAGATAAGACTAGGTACACAAATTAAAATAGGCAAGAAAATGCTAAGAGAACACTTGTCCACTCTATATGAGTTTTAATCACCAGGACCAGATTGATTACATCCCAGAATTCTGTGACAGCTGGCAGATGTGATCTCAGAACCATTGAACCATATCTTTCAAAGATTATGGCGCACTGGAACTACCAGTGGACTGGAAAGAGCTGATGAAGTTCTCATCTTTAAAAAAAAAAGGGGGGGGTAGGAATGGATCTACGAAACTGCAAACCAGTCAGCCTGACATCAATACCTGGGAAGACCCTGGAAAAGATAATCAAGCAACAGATCTAGGGGTGGGATGCTGGGGGTTCGCAGAACCCTCAAATCCCACTCCTGGCTGACCCCACCCATCCCACCCCTTCCAGGAGTCTCCACACGGCCCATTTTGGATGCAAGTAAGTGCAGGACACGCATGGAGGCTTGGGGAGGGCAAAAAATGGGCTATTGGAAGTTCGTGAAGGCTGGAAATGGGCCCATTGGGGAAGCCGTTTTCGCCCTCCCAGAGGCTCAAGAAAAGCCTCCAGAGCCTGGGGAGGGCAAAAATGCCCCCCCACCATGGTGCAGAAGGCTGACTAGGCCACACCCACCAGGGCCACGCCCACCCAGCAACCGGGCAGAGAATCCGTTGCTAAAATTTTTGAAGCCTACCCCTGAACAGATCTGAGAACATCTAGAAGCAAGCAAAGTTGTAACTACCAGTAGAAGCCAAGAAGGGTTTATTAAAAACAGATCGTGCCAAAGAAATCTTATTCCATTCTTCAACAAAATGACTAAATTAGTGGACCAGTAAAATGCAGCACACATGGTATACTTAGATTTCAATAAAAAGCATCTGACAAAGTAGATGGTAAGTTTTTGTTATATTAAAAAAAATGTGGCAGACACAGCCATCCACACAGATGGATTCATAACTCGCTGACAAATTGTACTCAACGTGTAGTCCTCAATGGAACTACACCCACATGGAGGGAAGTAAGCAGTGGGATTGCATTTTAGACCCAGTACTGATCAACATTTTCAGAAACTATCTAGATGCGGGAACAGAAGGGGAACTCAATCAAAATGGAGCTGGAAGGGAATTTGGAAGTCTTCTAATCCAACTCAAGGGCCATGGGCCAGATGTGGCCCACAGGGTGCTTAGATCTGGCCCACAGCCCAGTCTAGAAACAGCAAAGGACCAGCCTGCAGTACCTCTGCTAGTGAAAACAGAGCTCAGGGAGGGCTGTGTGCAGCCCTCCCAGGCTCCGTTTTCGGCTGCGACGGCCTCCTGCAACCTTCAGCCAGAGAAAACAGAGCTTGGGGAAGCCACATGCAGTCCTCCTAGGCCACGGTTTCACTGGCAGAGGGCTGCAGGAGGCTGTTGTGGCCAAAAATGGAGCCCAGGCAGGCCTCACACAGCCCCCCCAGCTCTATTTTTGGAGGCAGAGCACTGCATGAGTCCGTCATGGCCAAAAACAGAGCCTCAATGTGTGACATTCAGTTGGCCACGCCCCCCATAGCCACACACACACCCGACCCACCGACATCAAACACAACCCTGATGTGGCCCTCAATGAAATTGAGTTTGACATCCCTGCTTTAGTTCCAGGTTGCTTCTCTCCTTCATTAGTTTCCATCCATCCTTTCAATTACTAGAATACCTCTATCATGTCACCCATAGTCCTTCTTTTTTCTAGACTAATCAAACCCAAATCCTGCAACCATTCTTGATACGTTTTAGTCTCCAGGCCTTTAACCATCTTAGTTGCTCTTCTTTGTACTTTCCCCAAAGTTTCAGCATCTTTTTTGTAATGTGATAGCCAAAACTGAATGAAGTATTCCAGGTTTGGTCTTACTAAGGCTTTATATAAAGCAGTACTAAACATTCACATGATTTTGATTCTATTCCTCTGTTTACATAACCAAAAATTGTATTAGCTTTTTTGGCGGCTGCTGCATACTGCTGGTTCATATTTAAGTGATTGTCCATTAGAAGTCCAAGGTCATTTGGCTTTTCCTATAAAATCTTGCTTTTCTCCACATTAAATTTCATGTTGTTGGATAGGGCCCATTGTTCAACTCTGTCAAGATCTTTTTGGATCTTAAGCTTGTCTTCTGGGGTGTTGGCTATTCCTGCCAGCTTAGTGTCATCTGCAAATCTGATGAATTCCCCTTCTATTCCCTCATCTAAGGCATGTATTGAACATACCGAAGAGTACTGGGTCTAAGACAGAACCATGTGGCATATCACTGCTCACCTCCCTCCATGTAGATGTAGTACCATTAAGGACAACTTGTTGAGTACATTTTGTCAGCCAGTTAGAAATGCATCTGTTGGTGACGTTGTCTATCCCACATTTTTCTAGCGTATCAAAAAATAGGTTGTAGTCTACTTTATTGTATGCCTTGCTGAAGTATAAATATATCATGGCCACAGCCTAACCCTAACCCTAACCCTAACAAGAGCCTGTAGTACAGTGGACTAATGCACTGTTATTAACATCTGCTGCTTGCAATTACTGCAAGTTCAAATCTCACCAGGCTCAAGGTTGACTCAGCCTTCCATCCTTTCAAAGGTAGGTGAAATGAGGACCCAGATTGTGGGGGCAATAAGTTGACTTTGTATAAATATACAAAAGTATGAAGGCTATTGCTTAACGCATTGTAAGCCGCCCTGAGTCTCCGGAGAAGGGCGGCATATAAATTAAAGCAAAAAAAACAAAACAAAAAAACAGCATTTCTCTGGTCTACTAATTTAGTCACTTTGTCAAAGAATGAAATAAAATTGGCATGATCTGTTAACAAATCCATGCTGGCTTTTAACTAAAACTTTTTTTGTTTCTAGATGTTCGCGGATCCGTTTTTTAAAATTATTTTTTCCCAGTATCTTCCCAGGTATCAGTGTTAGGCTGATTGGTCTGTAGATTCCTGGCTCTGTTTTTTCCCCTTTTTTGAAGATGGGAACTACATCAGCTCTTTTCCAATCCTCAGTGTTCCAGGATTTTTGAACGATAGGCTACAAGGGTTCTGAGATAACATCTGACAGCTCCCTCAGAACCCTGGTGTTCTGAGAATCAGGTCCTGGTGATTTATATTCGCCAAACTCATCAAATTTGAGATGACACCAAGCTGGCAGGAATACCCAACACCCCAGAAGATAGGGTCAAGATACAAGAGAATCTCAATAGCCATTCCCAAAGAACCAACCTCCACTTGAAAGAGGCTTTTTCAAGCTTCCCACCAGCAGAAATTGCAGCCCCCAGTTTCCCAGCCTGCAGCACCAGTGGGCTTCCATTTGGGGAGGGAAGGAACCTGCAGCAGCCGCAGCTGAGAGGCTTCAGCCCAGTTGCTTCTCCGCTTCCAGCCCAAGTTGCTCCCGGACTCTCCTCCCACCTGCTGCCCTCCACTCACCTGGCAGCTGCTGCTTCCACCATGGAAACAGCACAAAAGCCGCTCTGCACACCAACTTCCTCCCATCAGTCATCCGGAAGAGGAAGTTCCTCTGCGCCTCTCCTCTCCTCTCCTCCCAGCCTTTCTAGCAATGCAGTACTTGATGATTTTAACTCTTTAAAATCAACCACAGAGCCCGCCTACTATATTGTCTGCTTTCTAGGCAGATATTGTCCTCTTGACGTCCATCTCCAGATAGGAAAGGCTTGTGCCGTCTCTACCTAAGGGGTCTGCAAGATGTTTTCACTGATTAAAGCTATCAAGTCGTTTTTGAGTTCTAGCAACCGACCTTTGCAACTGAGCCAAGTGAAATAGTGAGATCTGATGCTACTTAACCTTGCGAAGATTAGCTATGTGCTCAGCCTTAAAAGTTAATGACTTTTTTTTTTTACAGAATTGCACTATTAAATTTCCCTGGTGGTGTCTCAGTGGAGATCAAAGCCTCTCTTTATGACTTATTTAATGTGGCTCTCAAGGATTTAGGACATTGCAACATCGTCAGGTGAGAGTCTCCAGGGAAGCCAGCTTCACTCCTGCTGGCCAGGGCTGCATCCAAGAGCACCCAGCATGCCATGTTCATTCCTGAAGGAGGAAATTGTATATCTGTTAAGTACTAAATGCCATGTTCTTCTGTAAATTGGCCTGCATGGAAGTCTCCATTAGATCACACAGAGAGAAAAAGTATGCAGCCTAGAAATTGGGGTCTAAGAAAGAGGAAGTGATAATCTATATTTGGTAGAAATGTTTCCAAAAAGGATTTGTAAAAAAAACAAGAGGCAAAATAGTGTAGGAAGTTAGCATCCACCCTTTCCTGGAAGAGTGAAATATTTTAGGAAATATGAAAAAGGTAGAATATTATATTTCCCTGGGATAAGCATGTTTTGAAGCAGCTCCCATCTTCCTGCCCCCACCCTTTGTCAATGGGCCATTAAGGCTTGGGCCAGTCTATTCTACATAACAAAGATCTACCTCCTTCAGGCAGAGCCATAGTAGGAATTGCCAAAGATCCAACAAAGATAGGATTAGCTCTCTACACAATATCAGCAGAAACTCACCACATGCGACCTGGGAAGCACATGTGACCATCGGCTAGCTAAGACCCCACCCCCTGGGAGTCTGACAACCAATCAGAGTTCTCTTTCTAGGCCCCAGGAAGTTCAAAGCCAGAGAGAGCATAAAACCTGAAAAACTCGCTGTATCTGCCCTTTTCTGTTCAGGAACTCAAGCCATGTGATCCTGTCCACCATTAAACCATCTTTCCAAGCAGTCTCCATGTTTCCAGTGTCTGTTTCCCCACTTGGAGCAGAACCCAGAAGGATGTTTCTTCCAACAATAGAATAGCTCATCAAACCACATGGCTAATTGATCACCAGGCTAACCTTTTTAGAAGGACACCCTACAATGCAATTTTTAATGCTGACCTAATAAGATATGGGGGGTGGGGGGTGGTGATGATGACAGCAGTATTCCAGTATTTGAATATATACTGCCACAAAGGGGAGAGGGTCAATTTATTTACCAAAGCCCCAGAAGGCAAGACAAGAAACAATGGACGGAAACTAATCAAGGAGAGAAGCAACCTGGAATTGAGGAGAAACTTCCTAATAGTGAGGACAATTAACCAGTGGAACCAATTGCCTTCAGAAGTTGTGGGTGCTTCATCCCTGGAGGTTTTTAAAAAGAGATTGGACAGTCAGTTCTCTGAAATGGTATAAAGTTCCCTGCTTGAGCAGGTTGGACTAGAAGACCTCCAAGGTCCCTTCCATTTCTATTCTATTCTGATGATATTGGCTCTGAGCTCTGTTGTGCGAAGGAACCTTTAGGTTTACCTTTAATGGGGAGAGAGAGAGTGTCAGATCCCTAAAAGTGATACTGCCATTCAATTGGGAGAAGGGAGAGACTTGGATTCGATTTACTAGCATTGCCTGTGTCAACAGATATTTTACAACCTATATCCTGGTGCCAAAGAGCCCTGAGATCCCCTTAACGTTGAGGAATGTTTATGACAGCCATGTGGGCTGTTTCACTTTAAAGAAAAAAGGAGAAACGATGTGAATGCATACTTATCCAGTTCTCAGGGCAGGTGTTAAAGAAAACATCTTCACACTTGTGTATTGGCTAAAATCTGCATTTTGGCTTAAGGGAGGGTTCCCTACTGCTTTAATCCTACTTGTCTTGCCTAAGGGTATTCAGACTTTGCTTTGAATCCATTGCTGTCACTTCTGCTTAATAAAAGGGTCCTTTTGAAATACTATGTTTCAAGAGTTTTTACTTTCTTAAGTTGAGAGGAGAGGCAATCCTTACAGAGGGAGGGAGGGAGGGAGGAGGTAGAAACAGGGAAATATATGGAAGTATTAGTGACATATGGAAGATACGTTAACTTGGTTAAACAAATATTATGAATATATTATTATTATTGATATTAATGCAATGAATATTGTTGTAAACACTTTATTATTTTCTAAAATGATTTGTACCCAGCCAATACACTGTTCAATTGAAATTGGAATGTTTGTATGCTATAAAATAAAATAATTTATTACAAAAAAAAGCTAAATATTTGGGAATATATCTAACAGCAAGATGAGCAATAATAAAAGAAGATAATTATATTAAGCTATTAAACCAAATAAAATGATTTGGTAAAATGGAAGAATTTGCAATTATAAAAATGAATATTCTACCAAAACTACTTTTTTTGTTCCAAACGATTCCTATAAAAACAGAGAAAAAGTATTTTGATGAGCTAAATATAATAATTTTGAAATTTATATGGCAAGGGAAAAAAGCTAGAATTAGATTGAAAATGTTGCAAGAATCTAAAAATAATGTAGGATTTGGATTACCAGATTGGGCATTATTTATTTATTTATTTACTTATTGGTTCGATTTATATGCTGCCCTTCTCCAGAGACTCAGGGCGGCTTACAATGCATTAGAGCCTTCATACTTTTGTACATACCTGCTTAGTAGGGCTTTTGGCCCCCGTAAGAGGTGTTCTTTTTTATACAAAGTCAGCTTATTGCCCCCACAATCCGGGTCCTCATTTTACCTACCTCGAAAGGATGGAAGGCTGAGTCAACCTTGAATTATATTACCAACCACCCATGTACTAACATGAGTGAAAGAATTAATAAATCTCAGACATAAAAGATTATTGTATTTAGAAGGTCACAATCTGCAACTAGGATGGCATGCTTTCTTATGGTATGATAAGAATAAAATTCATAGATAATTCCAAAATCACTATGTAAGAAATGTGCTATTTTTAGTATGGGAAAAGGTGAAAGTGAAAATATATATGAAAATAACAGGATGGCTTTCAACAATGGAAGCATTTGTTCATCCAAACCTAGTAAACTTTGAAAAAATTCTAACATATAGATATGGAAGGGAAACTAAAAACCAAACCAGAACTACAAGAACAGAGATCTATCGTGGTGGCCACGAATGCAAATGCAATTGAGGTACAATAAAGACGCTAAGATATATGGCTTTTATAAAGAACAAACAACATTTGACCAAATACTGTTAATGGTAGATGAAAAGTTAATTAAACAACTATATAATTTTTTATTAAGCCTAAAAATGGAAGACGAATAGGTGAAAGAGACAACGATAGTATGGGCAAAAACATTTGAATATAATATAGAACTAGATAACTGGCAAAAACTTAGGGAAAGAAACTACAAATTGACGATGGCAACCACTTATAAAGAAAACTTGTATAAAATGTTTTATAGGTGGCACCTACCACCGGCGAGGCTAGCAAAAATGTTTAAAAATATGGTTACCAAATGTTGGAAATGTAATCAAAAACCGGGCACCTATTATCACTTGTGGTGGATGTGCCCAAAAGCAAACAATTTTTGGACAAAAGTGCATACTTGGTTAGAAAAAATGAATATAGATTTTAAGACAGAACCATTTTTGTTAGGCATAATACCAGAAAAATATGATAAAGGAAATGCATATTTGATATGGCATGATTTAACAGCAGCAAGAATTGCACAATATTGGAAAAGTGAGGAAGCAACTATGGAAGAAGATATAATTTAAAAAATATTAGACTGTGCAGAAATGGACAGAGCAACACTGAAGATAAAAGAAGGCACAGAATATTTTCGAACTTGGGACTTTTTTTTATCAATGGCTGGATAAAAGAGCTGGAAATTAGGAAATTAGTATTACTATGTAAACAAATTGACTGAGACTATGCTGTTCATTAAGCACACACACACACACACACACACACACACACACACACACACAAAAGGCAAATCCACTCACTCATCACAAAATCCCCAGAACTGCAAAACCTACAAACCTGAAATTTTGCACATATGTTCCTCTTGGCTTCTAGGTGCTCACTAAGAAAATATAAGATATACTTTGTTAGTGATGATGACAATGAGATGGACATCCGTGGAATCTACCCAGGCACTAATCCAGAACTGGTTAGCCAACTGCAGAAGTTGCTGTGTGAAGACAAGTATATTCTGGAATTTAAGGCTGTTGTTGATTCTGTTCCTAAGAGCCACGAGGACTTCCAAGTGGTGATTAACGCCGATAGGAAGCCTTCTGGAGAACAATGAAATTGTTTCAATGCCTCCTTCTCATTAGGTGGCCAAAGTATTTGAGTTTCATCTTCAGGATCTGGCCTTCTAAAGAACATCAGGGTTGATCTCCTCTAGGACTGACCAGTTTGTTTGCCTTGTAGTCCAAGGAACTCACAGGAGTCTTCTCCAGCACCATAGTTCAAGGGCCTTAATTATTTGGAGCTCAGCCTTTCTTTATGGTCCAACTTTCACAGCCATATATTGAAATTGGGAAAACCATAGCCTTGATTATACGCACTTTTCTTGGCAGGGTGATGTCTGCTTTTTAGAATGCTGCCTAGATTTGCCATAGCTTTCCTCCCCAGGAGCAAACGTCTTTTAATTTCTTGGCTGCAGTCCCCATCTGCGATGATCTTGAAGCCCAGGAAAATAAAATCTGTCACTACCTCCATTTCCTCTCCATCTATTTGCCAGGAATTGAGAGGGCTGGATGCCATAACCTTAGTTTTCTTAATGTTGAGTTCCAAACCAACTTTTGTACGCACCTCCTTCACCTACATCAAGGAGCTTTACGTTACCTTTTTATTATTAAATTCATTTATTATTAAACCTAATCGCTGCCCATCTCAGTTTGAGGCAAATTTGAGCATCTTGCCTTGCCCTATTGTTTATAGCAACACTGACAATACCTGTTTTTTACATGTCAAAAGCTACTGATAATTGTAACGTAATGCATTTTTAAAAAAATAACATTTTCTACTGTACATTTTTTTTCTCGTGTAAAGGCAGCAAAACAAAAGTTTGTCACTTCCACAAGTCCACCACAGGGACAAATCCAGGGCCCACTAAAAATGGTGGCTGCTTCCAGGACACAGTCATACTCACACGGGGGGAAACACACTCTGGACTTGATTTTTGTCTCTAGTCAGTGGTTGAATGATCTGGAATTAGGGGATCTAGTCATCAAACCCCTGTCATGGTCAGATCATTCACTCCTTCAACTAGACTTCCGAACCGCTTCCCCCCGCCGCAGGGAGTCAGAACCACCTAGGTGGTTCCATCCCAGGCGCCTGATGGATCCTGATAGGTTCTTGATGGAGCTTGGGCCATTCTCTGAGGCTCTGGCTCACAACTCGACTGAAGAACTGGTGGCCGCCTGGGAAAAGGCGGCTGCTGGAGCCTTGGATCGAGTCGCACCTTTGCGGCCTCTAACCCGGTGCCGATCCCATCCAGCTCCCTGGTTTTCAGAGGAGCTAAGGGAGAGGAAGCACTGGAAAAGACGCCTGGAGAGTGATTGGAGGGCCAGCCGCTCCGAATCCGACCGAACACTGATAAGATCTCATATTAAGACCTACCTAGTGGTGATAAAAGCGGCAAAATCAAATTATTTTTCCGTTCTTATTGTGTCTGCAGAAAACCGCCCAGCCGCCCTGTTTAGGGTGACCTGCTCCCTCCTTCATGCGGGAGCACGGGAGGACCCCTTGCAGGAGAAGGCTGAGGATTTTGCACAATTCCTGCACGACAAAATCGCTCAGATTCGGGAAGGCTTGAACTCCGATTGGGTAGATCCAGAGGGGGTGACGGGGGTGAGTCTTGAGAGTATTATCTGGGAGGAGTTTGACCCTGTGGCTCCCAAGGATGTGGACAGGATTCTGGGTAGGTTGAGCTCTGCCACATGTTTATTGGACCCGTGTCCCTCCTGGTTGGTGCTGGCCTCCCGGGAGGTTACACGAGGCTGGCTCCAGAGGATTATAAACGCTTCGTTGAGTGAGGATTTCCTCCCCGCTGCCCTTAAAGAGGCGGTGGTGAGGCCCCTCCTCAAGAAGCCTTTTCTGGACCCAGCGATATTAGCAAACTATCGTCCAGTCTCCAACCTCCGCTTTGTGGCGAAGGTTGTTGAGAGTGTGGTGGCGCAACAACTTCCCCGGTACCTGGATGAAGCTGTCTATCTAGATCCATTCCAGTCGGGCTTCAGGCCGGGATACAGCACAGAAACGGCATTGGTCACTTTGGTAGATAATCTCTGGAGGGTGCGGGACAGGGGATGTTCCTCTGTCCTAGTCCTATTGGACCTCTCAGTGGCTTTTGATACCATCGACCATGGTATCATGCTGCGCCGGCTGGAGGGGTTAGGAGTGGGGGGCACCGTGTTGCGGTGGTTCTCCTCCTTCCTCTCCGGTCGGACACAGTCTGTGTTGGCAGGGGGACAGAGATCGACCTTGAGGTGCCTCATGTATGGAGTGCCGCAAGGGTCTGTCCGCTCGCCCCTTTTGTTCAACATTTATGTGAAGCCACTGGGTGAGATCATCTGTGGTTTTGGGGTGGGGTGCCATCTATACGCTGATGACACTCAGCTGTACATCTCCACCCCGGACCACCCCAATGATGCCCTTAACATGATGTCTTGCTGTCTGGAGGCCGTGCGGATCTGGATGGGGAGAAACAGGCTCAGACTCAACCCCTCCAAGACTGAGTGGCTTTGGCTTCTGGCGTTCTGGTATAGCCAGCTGGTTCCATCGCTGGCTATTGGGGGTGAAATCTTACCCCCCTCGGAGAGGGCTCACAATCTGGGCATCCTCCTGGACGCACGGCTGTCCTTAGAAGAACACATGACAGCTGTGGCCAGGGGGGCTTTCTATCAGGTTCGCCTGATGTACCAGTTGCGTCCCTTTCTGGACCAGGATGCTCTACGCAGTCACTCACGCTCTCGTCACATCCCACCTGGACTACTGTAACGCTCTGTACATGGGGCTCCCCTTGAAGAGCACCTGGAGGCGCCAACTGGTCCAGAATGCGGCCGCGTGGGTGATTATGGGTGTGACTTGACGCACCCACGTGACACCTCTCCTGCGCGAGCTGTACTGGCTCCCAGTGGTCTTCCGGGTGCAGTTCAAGGTGTTGGTTACCACTTTAAAGCGCTCCATGGCCTAGGGCCCGGATACCTACAGGACCGCCTTCTGCCGCAAGTAGTTTCCCACCAACCAACACGCTCCCACAGAGAGGGGCTCCTCAGGGTGCCGTCGGCCAGACAATGTAGGCTGGCGACCCCCGGGGGAGAGCCTTCTCTGTGGGGACACCCACCCTCTGGAATGAACTACCCCCTGGGATACGTACAATCCCCGACCTCCGAACCTTCCACTGGGCCCTAAAGACCCTGCTTTTTCAACAGGCTGGCCTGGCTGAATAAGACCCTCGATGGGATATTTTAAATTATGGGTTTTAAAAGGACAAGGCCAATTTGTTTAATTCTTTTTAACTGGTTTTAATTTTTGTATGATTCTGTGTTTTATTATGGCTGTGCACCGCCCTGAGTCCTTCAGGAGAAGGGCGGTATAGAAATCTAATAAACTGAAACTGAAGTCATATGTCCCAGGGATGTGTGTCCTCCCCTCCTTCTTCAACATGAGGACCAGAGATCTTCAAAGGTAAGGAGGTGGAGGGTGTGAGGGATGGAGGGGTGTAAGTCAGGCGTAAGGGGATCCTGGGTGGGGGTGGGGAGAGGCCTGTGGGGACCGGGGGGGGGAGAGAAAGGACTGGTGGAGGAACCATGTGGAGGAGTAAAGGGCTGAGTGGAAACAAGGGTTAAGAAACAGAACACAGGGTGTCTTGGAGGGTGGGGGAGGCCTAGGGATGACTATGGCAGGCAAGTCTCGCCCTGTGTTAGGCTTCCAAGAGTTTTCCCCAATGTTGAGGTAGCAAGTATTCTGCTTAGCAACTTGCACATTCAGTTAATAGCTGCCTCAGGGAGAGCAGGACGAATCAGGTAGTTAAGAAAAGTGGCCTCACTTAACAGCTGTTGCAACATGCAACCATAATTGCAAGACCCATAATAGTTCTATCTAGAGGACTACTTTTATGCTGGCTGGGGAATTCTGGGGTTAACATCTGGGTGAAAACAAGGTAGAACACTTGAAACTCCAAATGTGGGTCCATAATCAACATACAAAAAATTCCTTTTTGAAGAATTCCACTACTTCTGCAAAAGGAAATACCCAGAAGCTTCTGCTGATAACCAGAAAATGGCAGTTAGCCATTTTCCACTTTCCTTTTCTCTCCACCTACAAATTTAATCCTGAGAAACGTTTGAGTAAAAAGAATCAGGACAGAATTCAAACAGTCAGTTTCTCAACCTACACTTTGAACAGGAGATCACAAATGAAATTCAAGCCTTCTCTAAACTCTTCAACTTTTGCCTCATATGGATTTCCTTGTGTGCAGGGATGATTTATGCTTGAAGTAATGTCCACAGACTGGACATTTCAAAGATTTCTCCATGATGTGAGTCCTCTGGTGTCTCACAAGGTGGAAATTCTGACTAAAACCTTTTCCACAGTTAGGACATTTAAAGTGTTTCTCTCCTGTGAGTCCTCTGGTGTTTCATCAGGTAGGAATTCTGAAACTTTTCCCACAGTCAGGACATTAAAAAGGTTTCTCTCCTGTGTGAGTACTCTGGTGATATTTTTTATAAACAATTTTTTTAATTTTTCCATATAAACATACATATTTTGTGGACTGTACATTGACTGGGTCAAGTCTTTTTTAAACAATATTAACAACAATAATACAAATCAATATGTGTAATCCTATTGTTCCAACTTCAACAATACTATTCTCATTTCATAATCTTTTATCATTTCCCCATTAATCCATTTAAATATAAATAACATTTCTTTATGTCATTTATTTGTTCCCCTACTAAAATGCTATTATTAACTTTCATCCAAATGTGTAGGATTATTAATAACACCAAATATTAACAATATTAAATCAATCCCGGAGTATATCTCAAAGTCCCCCCAATTTCCAATCCTTAATATAAACATTTGCAATATATTTTAACAGACTATAAATAAATTTATAGTCTAAATTTCCTAATTCCAAATTTCCTTCGACTAATCTTTATTTTATATATATACTACTATTTCCCCTATTAGTAATTTATATTTTCTTACATTTTCTTATTTCCATCATCTCTTAACCTTTTTCCATATTAACAATAATACAAATCAATATGTATAGTCTTAGTCTTCCAATTTCAACTGTTATTCTCTTTTCATAATCTTTTATCATTTTCCCATTAATTCATTTAAACATAAATATTTCTTTACGCCATGTATTTATTCCACTACTAAATGCTATTATTAACTTCCATCCAAATGTGTATAATTACTAATGACACCAAATATTAACAACATTAAATCAATTCAGGGTGTAGATCTCAAAATCCCAATTTTCAATCCTTAATATAAAAATTCACAATATATTTTAACATACTATAAATATTAATAAAACCGCTGAATTTCCTAATCCTAAATTCCCATCTATTGATCTTAACTTATTCTATACATATACTACTATTTTCCCTTTTAGTAATTTCTTATATTTTCTTTTATTTTCTTAGTATCCATCATCTCTTAACCTTTTTACAATCCCATCATCTATTGACTTTTTAATCAGCCATTTATCTCTCTCTCTTGGAATCCTAAAGCTCTTTTTGTTGTGTTTATGTCTACTGAACATTACCTTCTGGATATCCTTTATCTGTTTCTGCTGTATTGTTTGAACACCCCAACAAAATTTCTTTCTTTTTTTAAAAAGATTTTTTTTTTAATCTTTCTTTTTGGGGGGAGAATTTTTCTCTTTTCTCTCTATTCTTTTGTAAGCTTTTGAGGAGTTCTCTAACTGGTTCCTCTTTATTCCTTTCTCTTCTTTAGCTTCTTGCGTCTCATTTTGAATTTCTTCTAAATTCTCACCTATTTCTTGAGTATCTTTTCCCCCCACTTGTTGAGTAACTTCTACATTCATTTTTATCATTCTTTAAAGATTCCCTCATACTTTTTATCATCAAAATTATATCTTCATGTACCTCTATATCCATTTTGACAATTTAATGAAAATTATTCAATATATTTCTATAATTCCAATATCCCAATATTTTAAACCTCCTTTTATACTCTTAAGTTTTTAATTCACAACTTTGAAGTTTCCCTATTATATATTTTCCCAATTGTCTAAATTTTCTTCCTTTCTCCCCCTTTTCCTTTAACACCTTTCTTCTTTTGACTCGTAGAGTGTTCTGTTAAATAACATTAAAAGTCCAAGTCCAGATTAGTCCACTATATTTCCCCAATCTTTCAAATCTATGATCCAATAGCCAATTTTAATAATGTTTAGTTATGTGTAAGTTCCTTTTGAAGTCTTCAGAAGAGAAAAAAAAGGAAAAAAGAAATTCATCAGATATTCTCTCAGTTATCCAAGTCGTAACATAAAATCAAGGTCAGGTCGTCTTCCAGATGTTATTGCTTCTATTCTGTGTATTAGACTTTGTGTATATTAAATTCACTTTCACTAAGTATGCTGCAACTGCTGTAGTACTTCACTTCATCCAATAGGTGGTACTCTTATTGCCAAATCTCACATTATATAGTCTGTCAAAAACAGCTGATTATCAATAAATCCAGGGGGTTTAAAAATACAAATAGACAAAACAATTTCTCCCAAGAATCACTTTTCAAATTGTCTAAGCTTTTTTTTCAAGCGTTCTATGCTTTTTAGCGTCTCTTGGGCTTCTTTTGCCTCTTAATTGTCTGCAGTTTTTTTCTCCGTGTGTCAATCCACCGCTATCTTAGGGTTATCTAAGATAGTTATCTATCTTGCATTTGCATCAGCTCTTTAAGGTAAAAGTCTCTATTATCTCACCCAGTTTCAATGCTCTGTCCATACACCACTCCAGCACAAATCTTGTGGTCCCATTGTCCCAGAGAAAAATGGCAGTCGTCCCTGCTGTCGTTTGGGAGAGGTTGCTTCGGACTAAAACAAGGAATTTGCAGATTCCTCGTGGTCAGCGAAGCGCTTCTCCTACCTTCACCGCCCCGTCAAGGCGGTTATGACCCCATAGGGTCCCCCAGCAGCAGTTACCAGCTGGATTTCACAAGGAGCCTGCTATTTTCCAGCCGTTCTCGCCGCTATGTCAACTGGAAGTCCACTCTGGTGATATATAAGGTGGGAATTCTGACTGAAACTTTTCCCACAGTCACAACATTCAAAGGGTTTCTATCCTGTGTGGCTCCTCCTATCACCAGGTGGGAATTACGACTGAAACTTCTCCCAGTCAGGACATTCAAAGGGTTTCCCTCCTGTGTGAGTCCTCTGGTGTTTCACCAGGCTAGAATTATTACTAAAACTTCCCCCACAGATATGACATTCAAAGGGTTTATCTCCTGTGTGAATCCTCTGATGTATCACCAGTTGGGAATTCTGACTGTAATGTTTCCCACAAATAGGACATTCGAAGGGTTTCTCTCCTGTGTGAGTCCTCTGGTGTCTCACCAGGCTGGAACTCAGACTAAAACTTTTCCCACAATCAGGACATTCAAAGGGTTTCTCCCCTGTGTGAGTCCTCTGGTGTGTCACCAGGCTGGAATTATCACTAAAGCTTTTCCCACAGATAGGACATTCAAAGGGTTTCTCACCTGTGTGAGTCCTCTGGTGTATCACCAGATGGGAATTCTGACTGTAACATTTCCCACAGTTAGGACATTCAAAGGGTTTCTCTCCTGTGTGACTCCTCTGATGTCTCATGAGGTGAGAATTCTGACTAAAACCTTTTCCACAGTCTGGACATTCAAAAGGTTTCTCTCCTGTGTGAATACTCTGGTGATATATAAGGTGGGAATTCTGACTGAAACTTTTCCCACAGTACCAACATTCAAAGGGTTTCTCTCCTGTGTGAGTCCTCTGATGTCTCATGAGGTGGGAATTCTGACTAAAACCTTTTCCACAGTCTGGACATTCAAAAGGTTTATCTCCTGTGTGAATACTCCGGTGATATATAAGGTGGGAATTCTGACTGAAACTTTTCCCACAGTCACAACATTCAAAGGGTTTCTCTCCTGTGTGAGTCCTCTGATGTATTACCAGGCAGGAATTCTGATTGAAACGTTTCCCACAGACACAACATTCAAAGGGTTTCTCTCCTGTGTGAATACTCTGGTGTCTTGTGAGGTTGGAATTATCATTAAAACCTTTTCCACAGTCTGGACATTCAAAGGGTTTCTCTCCTGTGTGAGTCTTCTGATGTTTCACCAGGCTGGAATTATCATTAAAACTTTTCCCACAGATAGGACATTCAAAAGGTTTCTCTCCTGTGTGACTCCTCTGGTGGTTCATGAGTTGGGAATTTCGACTAAAACCCTTTCCACAGTCAGGACATTCAAATGGTTTCTCTCCTGTGTGAATACTCTGGTGTTGAACCAGGCTGGAATTATGACTGAAACCTTTCCCACAATCAGGACATTCAAAGGGTTTCTCTCCCGTGTGAGTCCTCTGGTGTCTCAGCAGCCTGGAATTATCACTAAAACTTTTCCCACAGATAGGACATTCAAAGGGTTTCTCTCCTGTGTGAGTCCTCTGGTGTATCATAAAGTGGGAATTTCTAATGAAAGTCTTTCCACAATCAGGACATTGAAAATGTTTCTCTCCTTTGTGAGTTCTTTGGTGTTTCATCATTGTGGAATTATCACTAAACATTTTCATACAAATAGGACATTCTCTCCTGTGTGAGTCCTCTGGTGTCTCATGAGGTGGGAATTTCTAATAAAACATTTCCCACAATCAGAACATTGAAAGGGTTTCTCTCCTGTGTGAGTCTTCTGGTGTCTCACCAGCCTGGAATTATCACAAAAACTTTTCCCACAGATAGGACAGTCTCCTTTGGGTTTCCTCTGGTGTATCACCAAGGTTTGAATTACAACTGAAAGTTTTCCCACTATGTGAGTCGTCTGGTATTTGTTGAAGCTGGAAGTTTCAATCAGGAAACTTTTCCCCAGAGAAAGGTCATTCAAATGTTTCTTTTTTCCTGTGGAGTTCTCTGAGTTTCCTGTCCGTCTCTGAGATGGACATTTCTAATGAAGCTTTTCCCACAATCTAGACATTCGTACAGTTTCTCCCTGGAGTCAATCCACTGATGGATCACCAGACTGGAATTGTGACTGAATTTTTTTACCCAGTCAGCACATTCAAATGGTTCCCTTCTTTGTGGGTCTCAGGTGCTTCACGAGATTGGAATTCTCACTGAAACTTTGCCCACAGAAAGGATGTTCAAATGGTTTTATTCCTGTGTCTGCGTCCTTTAGTGTCTCAGGACCTGGGAATTTCTAATGAAACTTTAACACAATCTGCAGTTGCCATACTCACTATAGCATTTACTGTATTGGGAGCACTTTTATGGCTTCCCCCTTGTGTGGTTGTTTCCATGAACCACAAGGGAGTTGTTCTGACCAGTTTTTGCTACACTGAGATAATGTGTATGGCTTTTCTCCTGTCTAGCTCCTCATTACCTAATCAGCTGTGATTTGGAATCTGTGCTTTTCCCACAATAGGCAAATCTATGGAGCTTTTCCACAGCTGATATTCTTGAGAAAGTCAAAAATATGTTCAACGCCTTGTTTAGTGATGCTTCCATTTAAGCCATTTTCTTCCTGACAGGGTGTGCCCTGCATTCCTGTCTCCACTCCGTGGCTTTACTATTGACCTTTTCCTCCCCACTGACTTCCAGATATTTCCCTTTTTTGCTGGTTGAAAAATAATCTCCTCTGACTTTTCATGTAATGTATCCTTGAGTTCTGCATAATCTTCTTATTCGAGTTTGAAATCTTTCTTGATTTTCTCTTGTTTGTCTAACAGCTACTGGAGGAGGAGGAGGAGAATTGTGCGGTTTTCTGAAAGAAATGAAAAATATTTTGATTTCTGGCTTGATTTTCTTCCCTTTTCAACGTTGCTTGTTATTTACAGTTGTCCCGAGTGCTCTTATTGCCATCCTGTTTGTCTGTAGGATTCAAAGAAAAGTGTAACTTTTATTGTTTATAAAATGATTAGAAAGGTGAAAAAAGAAAAAAAGTATATATTACAATGAAAAAGCAAACATGCCCCAATACTAGAATAGTCTCTTATCTTATTTATGATCACTTACAATATTGATGATTCATTTGATACAGGGGAGACTACTAAGATCCATTCAAATTCAGTTGTTGATTGGGATCAATCACAAATTCTTAGCAATTCAAAGGACTATCATCAATTATATCTTGAAGTGTTGGGGATAGATTTTATCATTGCAGACATATCCCTACAGAGAGAAATACAGATACATCCACATGTATACATGGAGAAAATCTATGACTTTCAAACCTGACAAAATGTCAGGTTACAGTCAAACCTGAGCTAAATTTAGAGATGTGGGGGCTTTAACTGATGAAATGATGCCGAAAGCCTGTGCAAGATTTGAAGCACCACTTTTGCTCATGGAAGTCCTCAGCTGCAAATAACAGCAGAAAATACTGTCTACAACCCCTCTGGTGACATCCTTGTTCAAGTAGTCCTCACTTAACCTACTCCAATTGGAACTAATATTTGCGGCACTAAGCAGCCTGATTATTAAACATGATGTCACATGACAGGGCCAATTTACATCTGTTCCTCTGTAGTTGTTAAGCAAATTACTGTGGGTTGTTAAAGACAATTTCATATGATCGTGACTTGTAATTTCCTGCCACTATATCCACTGATTTTGCTAATTAGAAGCTAGCTGGGAAGGTCACAAATGGGGATCATGAGTGTGGGATGTTGCAGGCATCATAAATGTGCAACTATTGGCAGAACCTGAACTGGTGCAACTCCTTTTCCTGCACCTTCAAAACCACAGTCACTGCTGAAGTGCGGTCCCTGAACAAGTGCTAGGATTACCACAAATTTTGTGGACCAGTAGAAGCACGTCTGCTTCTACTGTGCCACAGTAACTTTGAAGGCTCAGGGAAGAAGTGGTGAGTAAGGACTACCTGTGCAACCAAAGATGCCAAAAGGTCCTCAATAGCTATTTCTTAGGAAGTGCTGGATTAAGCACAATTGAACCTGGTTATAATACATGGATGGGACAGGAAATACCATACTTATTGGCAAGACATGGAAATAAAAAAACATTGATCGGTTTAATGGTGTTCCAATACTAGAAGAGTTGACATAAAGAAGAGGGTGTCAACTTAGTTTCCGAAGCACCAGAGAGCAAGACAAGAAGCAATGGATGGAACTAATGAAGGAGGGAAGCAACCTAGAACTAAGGAGAAACTTCCTAACAGTGAGAACACGTAACCAGTGGAACAGCTTATGTTCAGAAGTTGTAGGTGTTCCATCACTTTTAGAAGGGATTGCACAGCCATCTGTCTGGAATGAGCAGGGGATTGGGACAGAAGTTTCAGCTCATCCCAGTGACGGAGCACCCAGAACCATTCCCAAAGAACCAACCTCCACTTGAAAGAGGCTTTTTCAATCTTCCCACCAGCAGAAATTGCAGCCCCCAGTTTCCCAGCCTGCAGCACCAGTGGGCTTCCATTTGGGGAGGGAAGGAACCTGCAGCAGCCGCAGCTGAGAGGCTTCAGCCCAGTTGCTTCTCCGCTTCCAGGCCGTGGAGGGAACCGAACAGCCCGACTTGCTCCCGGACTCTCCTCCCACCTGCAGCCCTCCACTCACCTGCCAGCTGCTGCTTCGACCCCGGGAAGAGCACGAAAGCCGCTCTGCACACCAACTTTCTCCCATGAGCCATCCGGAAGAGGAAGTTCCTCTGCGCCTCTCCTCTCCTTCCATCCTTTCTAGCCATACAGTACTTGATGGTTTTAACTCTCAAGAGTTTAAATTTAGAGCCCGCCTACTGTATTGTCAGCTTTCTAGGCACAGATGTTGTCCCCTTGACTTCCATCTCCCGATAGGAAACATTTGTCCCGTCTCTACCTAAGGCGTGTGGAAGGTGTTTTCACTGATTAAATGCTATCAAGTCGTTTTTCTCTTCTAGCAACCGACTTTTGCAACTGAGTCAAGTGTGATGTGCTCAGCTGTTAACTTGAATAGAATAGAATAGAATTCTTTATTGGCCAAATGTGATTGGACACAATAAGGAATTTGTCTTTGTGCCGAGCTCAAAAGTTAATGACTTTTACAGAATTAGCTTTCTTGGGGGTGTCTCTCAAGCCTCTCTGCACCCTAAATCTTTATGACTTATTTAATGTGGCTCCCAAGGATTTAGGACGGGGCACCAAACCCTCCAGGGAGCCAGCTTCACTCTTGCTGGCCAGGGCTGCATCCAGGGGCACGGAGGATAAAGCTTGATTCCTGAAGGAGGGAATTGTATATCTGCTAAATGTTAAATGCCATGTGTAAACTCTGTAAATTTACTTGCGGGGAAGTCTCCATTAGGTCACAGATAGAGGAAAATACGCAGCAGGGGTTAGAAAATGAGGGCTAAGAAAAGGGACAATTGTCAATATAGAGTAAAAGAAATGTTTCTAAAATGCATTTAAAAGAAAAAGGAAAAATAGAATATCCCACCAAAGCACATGGCTGACTGATCACCAGGCTAACTTTATTACAGGGACACCCTACGCTGCCATTTTTAATAAAGATCTAGTAATTTTAGATGGTGATAGTGGCGTTTTAGCTATCGGCTCTAAGCTCTGTTGTATGGAAGAAACTGAAATATAAGAGCCTCAAAATATACAGGTAGTCCTCAATTTACGACCATAATTGAGCCCAAAATTTTTGTTGCTATGTGACTCTGGACACTGCAAATAAATGTAAGTCAGCTGTCAAGCATCCGAATCTAAATCACATGACCATGGGAATGCTGCACTCAGTCATGAGTGTGAAAAATGGTCATAAGTCGCTTTTTCAGCGCCATTGTAACATTGAACGGTCACTAAATGAACTGTCCTGAGTAATTGTTCTAATATCTGCTTCCTTCTGGGTCACTTACAGCAAGCTTTCTTCGGATAGCCTGCTCTCAGCCACGGTTACCTGAGCTTCTCTCCAAGCGTCCCAGGCAATCCTGATTGATTTTAAAAGGAGAGCAGATCTGTTGTCAAGGTTGCGACAGATGCCCTAATTAACTCATGAGTCTCGAGCCAAGTTTCAAAAGGAATCCAATGATTTATTTATTTATTTATTTTGTAAAAAGTTTTTCTTTATTTTTTACACATACACACACACACAAACATACAATGTATTTTTGCTGAACAGGCTATTTGGCCAGTTAACAAACTTAAACAGTTTTTGCTCCTTACAATTAAAATTACAATTTCTATACCTCTTTTTTGCCATAGTATTTATTTTCATCTATTTTTTACCAATATTACCAATATTACCCTTCATTTCATCTCTAATTTTAACCAAATTCCAATTTTACCTTCTATTCTATATTAAGCCCCTTCTCATTGTCATCTGTTTTTATATCCGTCATCAGAATAATTAATGTTGTGATGCTACAATTGTTCAATTCTTATAGGAATAGTGGACCAGCTTATTTTATAGCATATATTTTCTTAAGTAATACAGTCCAACATTTTAATATAATCAATTACTTATGTAAATATCTTTTCCATTTATATTAATGGAACAAAAATGGAACAAAAAAAAAAAGATATAAACGTGCCTATTCCAATTAGTTCCATTTTCATACATTAAATAGTTTTCCCCATATGTTCCTCTGAATCACATCTTAATCCTTTCTACTTTTACCACAATATACAATTAAAAATATTTCATCTATTTCAATTTCCTTAATTAAATTTAAAAATATTCTGGCTGTTATCCTCTCATATTGCTTCCCCCATGTATTGTTTCAAGTCCTCACTTAATCATTTCTATACACACCACCATAAACCATTAAAAGTATTTCAATTATTACAATTTAAACTTATTTATATTTCTAAAAAAAACCCTCATCATTATCTAGATTTCAAAAATACAAATGCTAATATTCCAATCATTGTTCAATTCATTTTCACCATCATATGATTTACCATTATTTCTTACTACAACTCATATTTCAGTTCTAGATGCATACCTCATATTCCTCTTTCATTTCTTTCTCCTTTTCTCCCTTTTCGTTTTTATTTTTACCTTTTTCTTTCCCCTTCTTTCTGTGCTTTAAAATCCTGATCTCTCCTATTTTGCCCTATATTTCCCATTGTTCCCTCTCTCTTTTCCCTTTTTTTAATTTCACCACTATTTAGCCCGCTGTTTAGCCCAAAATTGTCATTCTGTATCGGTGGGTTCCTCCCGGTTCGGTCCGGTTCCGCCAAGCCAGTAGCGGTGACAATATGACGTCACCGAACCGGTTCTCCCTCCCGCCTTCCCACCCCCTCACCCCCCCACGTTATTCTTACCTTTTATTTGGTCCCACCCCCAATCTATTGCTGCTTCCTGAGTCCCAGCTGATGACTAGAGGGAAAAAAACTGTTTAAACTCTTGCCGCGGGGCTTCAAAGGGCCGTCCTACAGCTGATCAGTGTTAAAAGCAAACAAATGAGTCGGGTCGTAAGTGCGAGGACTTTCCAGAAATGACTCTGACCAGCTAGCCACGCCCACCTAGTCACATGACCTCCAAGCCATACCCACAAAATAAGCCACGCCCACAGAACCGGTAGTAAAAAAATTTAGAACCCACCCCTGTTCTGTATGTCAAAGTCCTGGATTCTTCTCTTCTGCCCTATATTTCCTGTTGTTTTCCACCCTTTTTCTCTTTTTTGTATTTTCCCTGTAAATCCCAGTGTAATCATTTAAATTCTTTATATTCTTTCTGTTCTACCCTTCTTTCCATGTTTGTCTCTTTCTATCCTCCCTATTTCTTTCATTGTTAATCCCAATGTAATCTCTAAAAACCTCCTTTTTATTTATTATTTTTTTTTATTGCAAAAGTTTTACAATTACATTTTCACCCCTTTTTTCACCCCCCACCTCCCTCCCCAAACTTCCCATCCTCCCTAACCCTCCCTAACCCTCCCCCCCAGACTTCCCTATTATGTACTCATAACTAATAATACTGATATATATACCTGAACCCATCCCTCCCCCTATATTATTTTCCCTCTTTATCTCTTTACATTAAGATATTTCTAATACATTATTTTCAAATAAAAGCTATTTGGTACTTTCTAGTTTGGTATTTGTTCTGAACATATTCTATCCACCTTTTCCATTCCCATTCATAAGTCTCTTGTGAACAATCTTTTAAATATGCTGAAATCTTCGCCATCTCTGCAAAACTGGCCATCTTCAAAGTCCATTCCTCGATAGTAGGCAAAGCTTCATTCTTCCAATATTTACCTATCAACAATCTTGCTGCTGTTATCATATACAATATTAATTTTATTTCACTCCGTGTAAAACCCTTAACTATACCCAATAAAAACAATTGTGGAGAAAATTGAATTTTTTTCTTCAAAACATTCTGCATGACCCACCATATTTTTATCCAAAAAGCCTTAACTTTCCTACAGGTCCACCAAACATGATAATACGTAGCATCCAAACATTCGCATCTCCAACATTTTGGCTGAACATTAGGGTACATACATGACAGCTTTTTAGGATCTAAATGCCATCTATAAAACATTTTATAAAAATTTTCCCTCAGATTCTGCGACTGTGTAAATTTAACATTCTGAACCCAAATTTTTTCCCATGTTTCCAACATCACTGGTTCTTCAAAATTTTGTGCCCACTTAATCATACAATCTTTAACTAATTCCGTTTCTGAATCCCTTTCTAGCAAAACATTATAAAGCCTTTTAATATGCATTGGACCTTTCTGTCTTATATGTCTAACCAATTCTTCCTCATGCAACATAATACCAGTTTTTTGGTCCTCTTTCCATCTCAATTGTAATTGATTATATTGTAACCAAGTTAAATTAATCCCTTCGTCCAACAGTGTCTGCAAGGTCTTCAGCTGCCATCTACCCGCATCTGTAAAAAGAACCTCTTTGTATAAAACCCCCCCGAGTGACATTATATTTGTATTCCACAAGGTATGACCAAGATCCAGCCATAGCGGTATTTTATAATCCCATTTGAGTCGGTGCTTCTTCCAAACTCTCATCAAAGAGTCTCTAAGTATATGACTTTTAAATACTTTATCAACTTTGTCATCATAAAATAGGTAAGCATGCCATCCAAATTCAAGATCAAAACTTTCTGCATTCAATATTCCAGCCTTTTTACTTCCAAACCAATCACTTGTTAAAGTTAAAGCTGCTGCATCATAATATAACTGTAGGTTTGGAAGTTTAAGGCCTCCTCTTTCTGGAACATCTTGCATAATTTTCAATTTCACTCTCGGCTTTTTGTCGTTCCAGACAAACTTATTAAGTCCAGTTTGCCAAACTTTCAGTTGTTTATCACTTTTAAGCACCGGAATCATTTGAAACAAAAACAGAAATCTTGGCAAAATATTCATCTTAACTGCTGCTATTCTTCCAAGTAAAGACAGTTGCAGCTTTTTCCAAGTCTCCATGTCTTTCTGAACCTCTCGCCACAACACCTCATAGTTATTTTGAAACAATTTCATGTTTGATTCTGCAACCTGAACTCCAAGATATTTTACCTTAGGTACAATTTCAAAACCTGCCCTCCTTTCAAGCTCATGTTTACGATCTTGTGTCATATTTTTGACTATCATTTTAGTCTTTT